GAGCAAACATTATCTGTAGATTCCTTGCTCTTTATGTCCTTTTCGTCCTGTTTGAAGAAACCATGTCGAACGGTTTCCGCTTTGTACATGTGCGACACTACTGGTAGGTCAACAAAGAAGTCGTCATCAACCGGCCCATCTTCTTCTTGAGCGTACTTTGTCGCGGCAAAGAAGTCGCGCGGCATGTCGAACAAGGAACGTGGTCGCATCATAATATCTTGCCTCTGCTCAGGCTCCATCATGGACTGTTCTAGAGATGACATGGGGTACCAGAAGCGCGCGGTCATGCCGAGATCCCACGAGCTAAGTTTGCGGTTATGGTTGAGTGATTGGTTGTAGTATTGATCAGTAGATGTTTGTGTTGTTTGTAGCAAATTATGAAAACTGATTTCGTCGACTACTTTTCACTCGATAACAGAGTTTGCCGTAACTAATAGGTAGATATCATAGTGAAGTATGATCGGATAGGACGCTTCAACACCGTTCCCATACAAAATTACATATATATCATTATGAGCCTTGTCTGAATTCTAGAAGAAATGGCAAATCACTTTCTTCCATTTCACCATTTCAGCTTTTCAGTTTACATTCGAGAATACAATCAACGATCGCATATAGCAATCCGTTGTCACATACATATCTCCCGAAAATAATAGCAGCATTCAATGTTACTTCACTGCTCTTTTATATAAAATCTAGAATATGTCTTCTATTGACAAAAAGGCAAAAGCTATCATAATGTGCACTTTTACGCATAGGCAAAGCGTACTTAGTAATGCAATTTTTTTTCTTCTGCCAGACAAAATCATGAAAACTCTAGCAGGATATGAGGTGGTGATATACTAGTCAAGCTATCATCGATTCTTAGACTTGTGCTACTTTAATTATCTACTCTTTTGAATGTATCCTCATATGATTCACAGGAAGTACACTCCTCAGCAGATCTAGTGATGCACTAATAAGCATTCAGGTCAACAAGAAATGACAGCAGTGTGAATCCATACGCTTTTACTATTAGTTCTTCTTGTCTTTAGTCTTTCGTCCAAACGATGAAGGTGTCCTGGCTGGTGTTGTCCGTACCTGCCGTCCTGGATTCAATTTTGATTGTGCCACCCTGTGATACAGTGAAGCGAGAGACGTGTCAGTTATTTGTGCACGCTTGCGTGTATATGAAAAACGAAAAGACGTACAATAATATCCTCTCGGTAGAGCACTCTGCTCCACCTTATACTGCGTGTCTAAATAGAACATTAGATCGCGGACCTGGCCCTCGAGATCACCAATGCGCAACGCTGTTTGCTGCTCAACCCGTGCATTTTGCTCTTCTAATAGACGTACGCGCTCCTTCCACTGCTTCTGGTTACAATCAGCGATTTGTTCAGCTCTCTGTACAAGAGCAAAAAAACATAAGCACCATCAGCATACTCAAACTGCATCAGAAACTGCATCAGCAGACTGTCCAACAATCTTCACACACCTGACAAATGCCAGCTCCTCCTCTAAGAAAAAGCATTTCGTATCTTGAGCTAGATTTATATTTGCTTTCTTAAGCTGTTTGCGTTCGCCCTCGTGTGCATTAGCAGCGCTGCCGGCTCGCGCCTTCTTCCACGCGTACAAGCAGTCGTTCGTAATAGAGACGTTGCTCTTCCAGTTGGCTATAGTTCACAAGGAGCAGAAATGAGTTCACACTTACTACATGATAAAATGATGAGTCAGCAAGTGCTGCTTACCTCTTCAAAAGAAAATTGTACTCGACTGCAAGCTTCTCAAGTTTCCGATGTTCCCCTTCCTCCTCCTCTGCGGAAGTAGTTGGCGGATTCTGCGAGCGTTCGCCGCTATGGTTTACCGGACCCCGGAAACTCCACAAACTTGCCATCTTGCTTGTTCAAAATCAATCGTGTACATATCCATCGCCCGCGTAGTCCCCACACGCGCTGTGTCTCTAGTTCTAACGAATACGTATGCAGTGTAGCCTGATAGTGTTCTTTAGCGTGTTCACCCCAGTATCGCCCACACAGCCTACGTGGCCACAGATCCAGACATATCCCCAGGTGCTCCGCTATGCCACAAACCTCGCACGACGACCCGATATCTCCATGGCTGTATCGACACACTGAACAGCTTGATCCTTCCCGCATCGAAAAGAGACAATCACAATGAAAGGAATGATTACACAACGTCGTTAAAGTACCCGACGCTGAAGCATCTAGTCGATCTAAACAGACTGCACACGTCGGAATCTCGGTCATTCCTGCAGGTGGTGGTGGGGAAATAATTTCCGCATTTGTTCCCTGTTGATTCTTCTCTCCAACCGAGGACTTAAAAAGTACCAACAAGCGTATTTGTTTCATCTGCGCATCTTTTCTTTCCAATGCAATATTATCTGGATATTCTTCACCTACCACCGGGATTGAAACTCAATGCTTCTCACAAACACAATCTTACATCGTTCCTGCTCAATTGAGTTGAAATATTTACCATTATGGTCCTAATATATATCATATAGATAACATATAAATAAAGTAAGTAACATACGACACCATCAATTTGTACCCAAATAAAAAATGGGTTTACTTTCGTGCTTACGTGAAAAGTTTGATCCGCTCGTTCTTGTGACTTAAATTGCATGAGTACGCAAACAATTACTACGTTCTGGATCCTTTAATATACGCACAAGTGCAATATCTTCTTGAAAACTCGCTAGAAATCAAGAATCTCCAGCAGGAGAGACATATGTGATGGTACAGTCACGACACAAACCAATGCACTGCGTTCAGTAGGCAAATGTTGACTATCATGACTATTTTTGGCTGAGCTGCTACTGCTACTGAGATTCCAGAAGTAGAAGTAGAAGAATAAGGTCTATCGGCTCGATAGAAACGCAATTTTCCAGTAATAATTCCGAACTTATTGGTGCACCCAGTTAAAAAAGACGCATCATGTAGTACTTTGTAAAAGTCTCTTCAGCTTTTAACTTCCTCTTCTTCCCCATCGACTCGAATTTGAAACATTTTTGACAAAATGGTTAAAATATTTTTAACTCGAAACTTAATAATGAGTAACTTCTGAATTCGAAAAAAAGAGCCTTTTATTTATCTGGTTTTCATAGTTACCTTTTTACACGGCGCATACACTAAATGTCTCGAACGTCAGGTCGAGAAAAGAAGAAGAGAATTAGGATGAAAACCGAAGATTTTGTATACATTAAATTAAACGACATTTAGAAAGAGTCCCTAAGAAAAAAGTGGTGAGTCTCCTCTATTTTCGATTATGTAATTAAACGTAGCGGGAAAACCAATGTTTCAACTTTACAACCGTATGTGACCATTCTTCTTCTTCTTCATCCTCTCTCCTTTGTTGTTTATTTATTTTACTTGATTTTGCTCTCTCTCCTGACTGACGAAAGTGTCTTTGTCTCTCTTTTTAGTATCAGATACACGACGGAGTATGTACAAAAATGCACCAAATATTGACCCAATTAAACCGTACTTTTAGTCTCTTTCTCTCTCTCTCTTTTCTTGACTCGATAATGTTATTATTGTCGCTCAATTCATTGAATGAACTGTTATCTTGTTTATTTATTTGTATAGGGAGCAAAAGAATGCTGAAGTGAAGGCACTATTTGCCAAGATTGGCCATTTGCACTACTTTGTAGTGAATGGTGGGTGTTATTATCGCACTAATGGGCTTATGGGGCATCAAGACGCTGACGGATCCGCCCAGTAACTCGAGCGAGCTATTGTCGAATCTTGATACAAAGGTTACGCGTCGTTATTGCCACTGGCATGGCCGTTGTGTCCATGACATTGGCTCTACTACTGGTTAAGCTTATTGTAGCCCTACGCACGTGTCATGATTCTATTCGTGCTTTGGTTCAATGTGGTCATTTCATTTGCTTTTGCAGGTTATGGATTCATGATTGGCTTGTGTTTTTATTGCTGTTGTGGTCTCCCTCATTGCTCTCTTGAACCTTTGCTACGCTCGTGCCGTGCAGCACCGCATCCCGTTTGCTGTTGCCAACTTGCGTGTGGCTGAAGGTGCGATTGCTAAGCATTCGTCCACCTATGTGCGGTATCGATTGTTTTCACTATTGTTCAGATCGTGTGGGTGGTAATATGGGCGATGGCTTTGCCCGGTGTCGCCAACAAGATTGCTAAAAACAATCCGAGCTCTACGAAGTACCACAACGTCTTCGAAGATATGCGTACAAGCAGTCCGGGGGTTTCATATGTTGCGTACTTTTTTCCTGCTCCTGTCATTCTACTGGGACGCTACAGGTTTTCAAGAACGGTGCTCACACTACCGTCGCGGGCGGTCGCGACGTGCAATTTCAACGCAGAGTCATCTGGTGCTACGGGTGCCTCACTGAAGCGTAGCATGACTTCATCATTCGGATCCATTTGCTTTGGCTCGCTCATTGTCGCCTTTTTGCAGGCGCTTCGCGCGATGCGCGTTCCCCTGAGGTATTATGGGGTAGTTGTTATGTTTATTGTCTGATAGGAGGTCTTGGTTTTGTCTACAGTTGGCGGAAAATGGGCCCCAGGAGGGGAGCGCCTTGGCATGTGTTGCTGAGTGCATTTTGGGCTGCCTGCAGTCTATTATGGAGTACTTTAACCGCTGGGCATATGTCTATGTTGGAATCTATGGCTACAGGATTCACACAGGCTGGCAAAGGCCGTATTTGAGCTTTTTCAAGCAGCGTGGTTTTGATGCTATTATCAGCGATGATCTTATTGACAACGTGCTTGGCTTTGCAGCGCTTGAATTGGTACGTGTCATGTGCATTGAAATGTTAAATAATTTGAAAATCGGGTATGACAAAACTTCTGGTTACATTTGTTAGGACTCATATGCGCTGGCGTTGGCGCGCTGATTGCGGAGACGACCGACACTTTCGCGTTCGAAACAGCACGGCGTTTCTAGCGATCTTGGGTCTTGTGGTCGGCATCGGTGTTGCTGTCACACCCCTCGCTGTAATCCATTTCAGTTCTGTTGCTACGATCTTTGTCTGTTTTGCTGGCGGGGATCCGGCTGCTTTCCAATATTCGCATCCGGAAATTGTACGCGCCGTTGGTGCAGGAGTGGCTTCTTTACCCAGAGATTATGGTACAAGCGGGATATTACGCGTGTAGTGAGTGCCTCACTTGAGTCCGATGACAGAATTACACCGTTGCAGAAAAGTTGTATGCACCTAGCATTATATGATGCACAGTTGTTGAGGCGTTTTGAGAACGCCTCTGTTTGTACGACGCCGACGTATTGTATCCATAAGGTATCATTTATCTTGGCTGGAAGTCTCTACTTATTTTTGTTTTCACGCAATCTTCAATATCGTCTCGCCATGTTGCGAAGTTATCCAGCACTGTTGATCTTTAGTATCTCGTCGTTATTGTCGTCATCTTGGCTTCTTCTATGATTTCACTGCTGATTCATACAGCTTCAATTAGTCTTGTAGCTCGACGGCTTACGGACGTTGCTCCAGACACAAGCAATTTGAACCCAGCTCCGATGTTTCGACAGCGATTCACTATGTAGCAATCTTTTTCCTCCTTGTCATGTCGGCCATCTCTTCAGGGTCTTACTCTCGATTTCTCTTGTCCTTAGATAAAGTGAGTTTAGATGTGATTGTCCGTGCAGAAATCGGTTAGGAGCTACCGAGGAGGAAGTCACAAGGCCAAGGCAGCGCAACGCATTTTTACCCGTTCGTGCTGATGGTAATTTACTACTTACAACGCTCGTGCTCACAACGGTTGCTATCAATAATGGTTTGTTGTCAATTCTAATTGCGGATATGACTAGTGCTCTCGTGAGCTTCTTTGCTTCGACAATTCTAATCCTTGTATTTGGAGAAATTGTGCCTCAATCGCTCTGTTCGAGACACGCATTGTCAATTGGATCAAGATTTGTACCCGCTTGTTAAAGTGCTAAGACTAGTGCTGTATCCTTTTGCCAAACCCGTGAGCTATGCGCTTGACCGTACAGTTGGAGAAGATGTGGGCACGTTATTTACCAAACGAGAGTTGCAACAACTTGTAGATATTCATGTGGGACAAAAAGGTTATGCACCCTGATGAGGGACATATCGTACGCGGTGCAATGAGCTACAAGAACAAGGTCGTCAGTGACAGTATGATCCCAGTCGACAAACTCTTTTCACTTTGGGATATCCTTTTTTTCCACGTTAGCAGTTTTGTTTTGTGGCGATGTAGTTATGGTTGGCCAATGCTTGCTTGCTAGATTCCTTAACTGTATGACGTTGTTGTTGTTGCTATCGTGTTTGTCATGTGTGTTTGTGTACGCTAGTACAATACTCAATTCAGCACGTGCTCGGGCTGATCTACAATCAAGGATATAGCCGCATTCCCGTGTGGAATAAGGATCTGAACGACGTGGTTGGAATTATCTTTACCAAGGACTTGATATACGTGGACCCGAACCAAGAAGTGCCACTGATGGCATTTGCGCGTGTTTTTTTGCTGTCGCAGCGCATCGTATCTGGCTCGACGCAAAACTGGGTGAGGTGCTGAGCGTCTTCAAAATGGGCAGCACCCACATGGCACTTGTTTATGATGTCAATAACACGGGACCGGTAAGCTTACCCATGAGATCTGAGCAAGATTTCCCACTGTTTACCTCATCATGTACATGTGTATTTTATTGTCAGAGTGATCCGTTCTCACTGAACTCAAGTGGCTTGGGGTAACGCTTGAGGACATTGTAGAGGAGATTTTGCAGTCCAAGATCACAAACGAGACCAACTTGCGCGTGGCCAGGCAGGAACGCCAAAGGCAAAGCTGCACGGACCAAATCGGGTCTTGTAAAGTGGAGGTAAGTCTACAGTGGACAATATCATCTTGATTCCTTCTAGTACCACCACCAACGTTGTCGCCGGGCGGTCTAAGTGCTTATCGGACGTTATATGCTTTTGACCAGCATACATGTTTTCCGGGACGAAGATCCACTCACTCTCTTGAGAGCAAAGACGTCTTTGCCACTCCTCCTCGAGCTTCAGACAAGTACAAAAAGCGCAAAAGCAGGCTACTTCACACGGCAATGATACACAGGTAATCTTTCATTTCCCTTACACTGAAGCTAATGACGGGAAAAGCCCGCTCATGCTGGAACTCCGACTAGCGGCTAATTACTATCCAATATGGGTTTTTCACAGCAACTCCAACCAACAAAACAATGGGGGAGGTATCGCGTACTGTTGCAGAGGGTGAAATTACTTTCACAATATGAGATTGGCGTTTATCTAAAGTACCATCGATTCTCGAACAGGTGTTTGAGCCCTTCTTTCGTGCTGGCCCTTGCCTCACCCGCTTGTAGAAACCCTATATGCTGAAAAAATTAGCAGCAAATTGCTCCCTCACGTCGGCACTAGTTGCCACCTCATCAGTGGAAAACCAAAATGCTGGGGTGATGCAAAACTCGTCTTGTCGTTCAATGCAGCTCAAAAGCCCGACCGCATTTTTACATGAAGCCCGCAGACCGAGTACATTACCGTAGCCGTGCTATGATAGATCAGTGTGAATGCATCGATGAGTCGATATCACTGCCGCCAGTAAGCTTAAGGTAAAAGATTTATCTACAGAGCCAAACCGATCGATGTAATGTTGTAGCTGTCTGGAATCTGTGACGAGTCTTCGTATCATGCAGTAAATACAACCCACCTCCAAACACTTTGCAGGGCTGCCGTACCTCAAAAAAAAACTTACATACAAATCTGCAAGTCGTATTACGCAGTCGCTTGAACCGAACATCAGCGGTTGGCCATAAGTCTCGTAGGGGTGGGGACACCGCACCTCTGACGGTTTTCTCGAACTCTCACCATTACGGCATCGATCATTCCTGTAACAATACAACAATGCGACAAACTGTATCCAAGACACAAAAAAAAAGGCATCGGCCCATGCTACAGGACCTGCCTCAAAGTTGTGGGGAGTTTCGCCAAAGAGCTGCCTGTTCAATGTACCAGGCGGATTTGAGAAGCGCCCCGGCTGTTTGTGCCGCGCCAGCACCGGGCGTGGAAAAAATGCTGCCCTCTCCTTCTTCCCATACCGCCAAGCTCCCACGCGTATTCATCATGGACCAGCTGGTGCAACCAGGATCAACGACGTGGTTTCCGCCTGTTCCCAATTTCTGGGAGTTGCAAGTTCTTAGGCAAGTGACCTATAAAACATGACAGGTAAAAGAGAACTCTGTTTGGTAATATCGATATCTGCAGCTTTCACAAGTTGAAGACTCAACTTCCTCAGCAGAGCCAGGAGACGACGAGTGCACAGCAAAGCTGCCAGGAACTGGAGACGGAGTTGTGCCTCCAACCACTTCCCTGAGGGACTTCTGTCGTGAGCAATCTTGCACTTTCAGCTGCAAAAACAAATGACACAAAGATAACTCTACAATGTAAAGCTGCTGTAAGCAATGGCGCCTTTAGATAAATAAGGATGGGTGCAACTAATTGCCATCAAAGCGCCAAGACTGGGGATGGCTAATATTTCATCGAGCTGGGGAGTGGGCAACTCCTTGAATGTTCATGAAAGCGGCTTTCTCCAGGGATAAATTTATTCGTGTTCTCTTTCGACGAAATCCGGGTTATTATGATGCAAACTGAGCCGCCTCAACTTACCTCCTGAATTTTGTCTCCTGATCTTCATGACGCCAGAAGACGCAATCTCCGTAGTTGGAAAGCTTCTAAAATGTTGAAAACGTTTCGCAACGATCGATCTGACTGGAAGAAAAATGCTGTCGTTAAAACTTATCTGACGCTAGAGAACTCTTTCAATGCACAGGCCATTGAAAAGCAAATAAAGTCCAAATACGATAGAATCAGAGGAACGTGATCGACATGTTCCATACTGGTTAGCAGACGCTTGCGTTCGGACGTTGATCAGTAGACCTTACACGTAGTTATCTGGCTTTCGTCAGCAACAAAAAAGCGCCTATGCAATGCATTCCTATGTGTCAAGTTTAGAGTGTATGTATCCAATTTATCCTAGTTCCAGGAGCCCTTGCGAGGTGTCTTACCCCATACATACGTCAGTGAAGTTTATGGACCAAATGATGAACAAGAGAGAGTCCACGTGCTTACTATGAAAATAATCGTGAGATTTACCGTCAATGCAGACAATGAAACTGTAGAAAGCCTCGAATCCGAAAACAACCGTTAGACTTTCAGGCGTTTATCGATGATAATCTATAGTAAGATCAAATAGGTTGATAAGATGGTCGATTCAACGGTCATCAGAGCGAGTAATGCGACCAGTCTAGTCTCCGCACGTTCGCCGGAGACCTGGTGGAAACGCAGAGTCCGTGTGTACAACCCAAGCGACGAGAACTGCTGGCACATGGCTGCTCCACTTTTGGTGATGCAAAACCATAGCAGGGATTGAACTACTCCCAGCTTGCATTTTGCCACCAACGTCCCATTTGCTGTCTCTAACTGTCAGAAGCTGCACTCTTACTGAAAACAATGCTGGGCAAACGTTGCGCATCGGAAATGGAGGCATGCCTCACCGAATACTATCGCCAGGAATGCCTGCGTGCTCTGTACGCCAAGCAAGAACGGCCACGCGATTGCACCTGGGTGAACAAGAATATGATGGCCAAGCCTCCTCGGAGAGCACGCAAGGGCGTATCGTTCGCTATGGCTCCTGAGATCATTGGCAGCGCTGATCCGGCCGTGGATCGCGTTCCATTCGATGGTTCTCCAGTCTCCAAGCTCGAGTTAATCGTCCTGCTTTCGCAGCGCACGTTCCCCCGTCCAGGCTTAGACGAAATTACCGACCACGCAGTGTATCCGACAACCAGTACGCCAGAAAGTAGGCGTGCAAAATCGATAAGACCACAATGCGCTGGACATACTCTTCCACTCCAGGTCCTGGAAGACGAGATGTGTCACCATTGAACAAAAGCCAAACCACCAATTCATTTCAAAGCATACAGCTTGTAGAATTACAACGAGCCGTTTGGTAGAATTAATTTCACTATTTAAGTGCAATAAACGCCGACATTTTATCAACTTTCTGGTTTAAGCATTTGCTACCATAACATATCAATAACGTTTCATAGGCTGTTACCTACCTTCCATAGGCTCTCAGCTTACTGCCTTTCACGGCCGCATGGCTAGCCAAATCAGCGTTCAATATTGAGCGTTGTGAGGCGTCTGACCTTTCGCCGCAACACAGCTTGCCCCAGTAGCTGTGCACGGGCTTTGCACGCATGACAAGTGATTAATCAGCTACAGATACCGCTTATGTGTACTCAATCCCAGCTATCTCAAGTCCGTGTCGTGTAGTTGACCTCAGCATTACTGATAGTTAGCTCACTGTCCTGGCGGAAAATCCCATCACTCGTGTCAACACATGCCCGGCTCATTCGTCTTCCCTTTATATGACCGGTATTAACTCCATCGTTTTACTTTTGACTCTTCCATTACGGACCGTATTGTCAAAGCTTTGCAGACGTAGGTGTGGTCTTTTTAGCTTTGGTGTCTTCATCCGATACGATCGTGATTGCAATGCAAAGGTAATGGGTAGTGGATCAAGCAAAAGTTCATGTAACTAGTGTAGCTACTACTGCTTGTTTCATCACTGTCTTTTGTCTCAGCACTACGGTTCAATCCCTTCTGAATAATAGATAACATATCTCTGTATCCATGACTTATGAGGTAGACTAATAACGTTGTATTCTAGTATACAGGTACTCTAGCTTGGACCTGACCATGTTCTATCTGTCTCATACAGTGTAAACTCAAACTCCATTGTCTATACCTAATTCACTGCATAAGTCACATCAAGCATCTGTCATACAAAAGTCTGGTAGTGCTATGTAACTTCCTTTTTTCGATCTGTTCCATGCCGTCCGCTTTATTATAAATGAGCCAATTGTTGTGCGTTTAATCGTTTAATCAACAATGATTGGTTAAAATTTGTGTTTCCCTTCTGACCACCACTCTCTTCTTCGTCCACAATTCATAGAAATCATGACAAAAGTGCGCGGCGTGTGGCGGGTCACCATTGTTATCTGTGGAGAGGCAGAAGACACAGGACGACGTTCCTTCTCCTTTCCAGAATCAACTTCGTCTCCTGCATTGAAAAGGACATGTAGGAAGCACAAGGTAGAAAGAAATCGATCTTGCCAACGACAAAAAGCTAAAATCCGAATCTTCCGCACTATTCGAGACAAAAAGTATTCACAAACTTGTACAAGGACGCACCAAGAGATTTGGTCACGTATTTAAATGATCAGATGAGTGTAATTCATCAAGAGAAACTCGAGATAGAATATGGTCGAGGACAGGGGTATATTGTAACGCTACCATTGCCTAGCTCGAAGTTAAAGGCTGAAGTGGAAGGAGTATGAGAATTGGATCAAAGAATTGGGTTTTGACATTCGGTAATGCACACTTGAAACAAAATGCTTTGTGTATTTCTAGTCTCAAGGCAGATGTGATTATCAATGAGTTAAAGCGGAGAATGTCGTCTATGGCCGAGTACGTCCAAGAGACAAACATTTTAGTAGGCAGTTTTTCTTTTCTTATTGTTTATATTTCTTATTTTTTTATGTGTGAATTAATGTAGGAAATGGGACATAGAGAAAGCAGAAGAAGTAGAAGACTCAAATGTGGTAAAGGAGTTGATTAGTAAAGGCGATACATTATTGAATAATGAACAAGAAGAAGAAGAAAAATCGACTGGAGATGACGCCACAGATATGGCAATGATGATTCGGCTCAAACAATACTATCAAAAACTGGAATCATAGAAACTTGAGGTCGTGATCATTTGAGGAAAACCACCGACTATTATCATCGACACAGCACACGGCAATTTGCTGATGCAATGGAAGACGTACTTGGCACAGCCTTCGACTCGTCGTGACCGTCGTCTCGTGCCAGACGGTTATCTAAGTTGGGAAGAATATCAGACCGGCGTTTGTCTTCTTTCGGATTCGCGCCATCGTCTTCCTCTTTTCTTCCACTTGTTAAAGACGATTGGCTCTGGGATCGAAAAATGGAAACAAGGGCACGCACACCAATCAAGCGTCACGTTTCGCCTGGTGACAACGGAGTAGCCGGCGAAGATGAAGGTGGAGGGAGAACGTGTGTTGTATCTTGTACTTGACTCAGGTTTGATAGATGCGAAGGTATTCTTGGCGAAGTGCTGCGCAAGGTATCTACAGTGTACGTTTGGAGCATGCTTACGAGGTTCATCCAAACCGCTATCCAGACCGTAAGATGTGGTGCAAACAGAGCATACGCTTGGCTTATCGCGGACTACGCCAAGTACGTAGAAACTATCGGTGAAGTGTCTGTGATGCTACGCTTTAAGCTTATATCGCGATGTTGTCAATCGTGCTATTGTAGGAAAGCAAACGTCTACTCGACGGCGTATATGTACTATTGCCACCCGCACGGTCATCATCTTGCGAATGGTGCTTATAAAGAAGTCTTCAAGGTGTTTTCGTCACAAAAGTGTCGGCTAGAGGCTATCAGTGTGATGGATATTAGCGCAATTGAAGCTGCCGGTAAACTGGTGAGCGTACAAGTTATTTGAAGAGGATGTGGACGTATTGCATGGACTCATTTGGTATTTGTTATTGTCGTAGAGTGTCGTTTGTCAAGAGGTGGCCCACTCGGTACTGCTATCGCACGCTACTGAGCAAGGCATGTGTCCAAATTTCCTCCTGATTTTATGATGTTTTTTCTTGCGTACGAGCAACCCTTCGCTCTGCATCTTTGGGGTAGCAAAAACAAATCGCAAGCCGGGTGAGTTGTTGACAGAGACAAACCATGAACCCTGGCGCTTTCCGCTGCCAGGATGGATCCATTGGTATCCTCAAGCGACGAATGTAACCATTTGTTCCAATATATTCGGATGGAGTTTAGGTGATGGTGGTGATTTAGAAGATTTTATCGGACTACAAAGGAATAAGACGCTACCTCTCGCAACTGTATCCGTGCCATTTTTTCTTTCGTAAATGGTGTATAGTCTGTACTGTGCTCGAGAAAAGCATTTAACTTACGACACTGTGATATTAAGGTATGTTACCTGCATCCTGTAATTGAAGTTGTAAGCTAACGTGTTTTTTGCTGAATGAACACAGCTTCTCAACTTCTTTCTGAAGGACATTGGTCGCGCTGATCTCCGCAAGGACCCAGGATCTAATATCGTATTGCATTATTTGCTGGAAGATGTTTGCTTTGTTTTTCAAATGCCCGCCTCCTTTTCGTACTGGGTAAAATTGGCTGATTTTGGGGCGGCTGACTCAAACCCGGAAAACTTGGGAAGTCCAGTCACAATTGATCAGTTCACTACCCTAGAAAATACACCGGTCGAGTTCTTGCTAGAAGGTGACGCAGCCAAGCAGTCCTATGCAGCAGACACATTCTTGTTTGGGCCCCTGCGTGCTACACTTGTTTACTGGATGGTATGTCATATTTTGCCTCGATCTACTGTCGCATTTCGTGCTCTCTTGACCTGCTTGCTGGTTTTTGGGCATAGCGCACCATACGAAGAGATTTTGGAACACGTGACTGGCCCCGCAGAACTTCTTGAATGACCTCAAGTTCATTTGGATGGTACGTATTTTATGATAAAAGCAAAGCGTTTAGTCGTTTAATAACGTGACCCGGGTCTTGAATGCTTCACCGGAATGTAATGTAAAGAGCCCACGGAAGAATTCAGGATTTTCTGTGATTAAAAGCGTGGCGCGCGGTGATGATGAAAATACGCTCTGCCACAGTCTCTATCGATTTGTTGTGCTCTTTGGGCTACCGATGCAAAACCCAAACGAAAGAAATGGAATTGACAAGGTATGGCAACTGTTGCTGAAACATTTACGACCAGATGATCCAGCGCTTAGTCATCCCCAGCGACGACCCAGACGAACGAGAGGCGCGGGTGTGGCTGAACGACACGCTAAATCGACGAAGAGTCAATTTGACTATGATCAGTCGTTGTACTCTGTTGCCAGAGGTTCCAATAATGTTATTCGTCGATGCCGCGAAGGACTGCAGACGATTCCGGGAGCAATGGACTTACTGAATAGGATGGTGGATTTCGATCCTGCAAAGCGTCCCACACTCAAGCAAGTGATGTATCACCCAATATTTTCCAGTTTTCGGGTGTCGCCTTCCAAGGAAAAAAGAAACGCCACCAGACTATGTTGTTAGTTACTATAGCAGTCTGTATCGAAGGGGCCAAGCAATTCCGGACATTTAGGCAGAGAGGGTGTTTGCATATTCCATTAGAGGAAGAACTTCGATCGCATGACGTGCTAGTACCAGCGTAAATACATGACATACAATTTCCATTATTAATACGATCTATCTAAATACGATAAGAGAGAAGTCCCTGAATGACTTCAAAACACTTTCGAAGTCGTCAAACGTCATAAGCGTTCACTTCAATCCATAACGTTGTCCAACAACTCTAGCCACCTCTTAACTGCTCCATCCTCTCATAAGACCTTCCACACGATGCACTGTTATCTTGATCGGACGCTGGGCTGTACAGATTTCACGGACATAATCCGTTGGCTTCAAGTACTTCTGTCCATTCACGGCAACCACCCGTGAACCAACCAAAACACCATGCCTTCTTGCAATACACTCTTCATCAACGCTACGTACGACGCAGTAAAAACCAGTCGTAGACAATGAGCAGCCGAGCTCCTCCCTTATCATGCAGTGTTATATTAATTTCGACAACTCTGGGTTCCGGGACGGATAAAACCACCGTCTTTGGTCCTTCAAATGCAGCCTGAGAGCGGAAGACGAAGTGGAACAATATTGGCCGCGGCAATGTTGGGAGCATACCAACAACCTCGTTAAATTTCAAGTTCTTCTCGTCGTTGAGGCCGATCAGCAAGCTACCAACAATTACGTTTGCTCGTTCTGCAGCACCACCTGGAATGACTCGACACACTTCTGCATAGCCACTACTAGCCTTCGCCACGGTGAAGCCTAATGGCTCACCAGGAGCTCCAATCTTTTGTTCATACATTCTCCATCCCACCGTTCGCTGAGAATACAAGACACAGCAAGAGGTAGACAACAACATAAGTTCTCTGTAGGCGCATAAATTCAAGATCCATAACACCTACCGATGCGCTGACGAAACACAATTTTGAATGCGCATTCAGATTGTTCAACGAAACCATTATGCAGCACATTGTGCATTTGACAGTCGTGTTGTCAACATGATCACTCAGATATTCTGCCTTCGTAGCTGGCATCGCTGACAAAGTACAGCTCTTCGTCAGCAAAGAGTTCTCATCACTAAGTGGCGAAATATTAGCAAGCATCGTCAAAAATGACGTCGCAGTAAGTAAGCACGCAACGGATGAATCCTTTACTGCAGCTTAGTGCAACTCGACTCTTGTAAGCTTTTGCCACGCTGGACGAGTACCTTTCCAACATCGAAAGGTCGGCAACTCCGGCTCCAGCACACACAGCGGACCATTTGGCATTGCCACCCAGTTCCAGTGCACGCACCTCACTCGCTGACCACGCATCCATTTCCAGTGACTTAACAAAGCTCGTCTTTACACCCAACGATCGGTGTTTTCCGGCACAGGTCAGACACAGCAAGATGCCAAAGGAGACGCCTGCCCATTGAGGAAAGATAGCCTTGCAATCGGCACAGCGCTGGAAATACCCGGAACGTTAGCATCACTACAAGCTCTTAATAGTATAATCACAATAATGGAAAACAAACATACGTCGTTGCCAGGTAAAAGACGGATTGTCACCTCCGTCGCAGATGAAAGACGCATCATTGCCACTGGCTCGGGCATCACACCGCAATTGGATCTGGACGTTGCACTTACCGAGGTAATGTCAGTGGGTCAAGTGATGGAACTACAGCTAGGAGAAGAGGAAGTAGAAGAGGGTGTGTGCTCGTCTTTGAGCAACGCAATGGCAGAAGAAGGGGACAAACCTGATCGGACACAATGAACGACAAGAATTAAGTGCTGCTAATTCTGGGTCCAAAACGTCTTTTTGCTCTGAATTGGACAACGCAAAAGACTCGGAACGTGCTTGGAATATGAGATAGACACATAAATTGAAGCGCATTGTTTTTACACGGTTTTGTAAAGTGAGAGAAAGTACAGGCTTGAAACGGAAAAACAAATACATTTGCTTTATTTTAGAGCTACGACGTATACGTATAGGTGTATACACCCCTGAATAAATAACTTAGAAATTTTATTCAGCACACAAGTCTTACGTTGCGTCACCTTTTCGTAGCCATTTCGTGAAACAGCTGGTCGATTTTGGCTGGCTGCCATGTGCCCGTCACTACTAAAGTCGCTACTGAGCCAGACAGTAATCTAGTTCCTCTTTGCACACACGACCTTATCATGGACTTCTTGGCGCTAGTGGCTGCTCTTGTGAGCAACGATAATGCAACACGTAAGCAGGCAGAGGCGTCGTATGAGGCCTTCAAGGCGGAACAACCACAGGCTCTTGTGATCAACCTCGTGCAACTACTACGCACGGCCTCTGATCCGGAAGCGCGTGCTTTTGCTCCCGTGCTATTGCGTCAGCTACTAGAGGCTAAGACTGGCGTGTACACGCGCTTGGATACGGATGCACAGGCAATTCTTAAGGTGCAACTATTAGAGGCCCTGGTCACCGAGCCCATAGCTCACGTTCGCCGCAAACTTGGCCACTTGATTGCTGAACTGGCTGTTGTCTCGGAGAAGTACGAGCAAGCGTGGCCCGAGCTGCTGAATGTCGTATCAGCTCTTACCACAAATGCTGACGCACTGTTACGCGTGACAGCCTTCGACTTGCTGGCCAAGCTAGCCGAGTACGTGAGTGACCTGCTAGTTCCGCATAAAGAAAGCTTCCTTACGCTTTTTACCAACTCGCTCAACGATGCAAACGGAGAAGTGCAGATTGCCAGCCTCAAGGCTGCATCAGCTTTCCTGCTGACGCTCGAGGACAAGCAGGAATTATTGGCGTTTGCCATTATTGTGGCCCCTATGTTGCGTATCATTGAAGTGCTGGTGAATGCTGGAGACGAAATTGCTTTTCGTGAGGTACTGTCGGCTCTTGTGCAGATTGCTGAAGTACACCCCAAATTTTTCCGCAACTCTCTGGACGACGTGGCCCGTGCCATGATCTCTGTGTGCTCGTCACAAGAGCTTGACTCGGAGACTCGTGAGCTTGCTTTGGAGTTCGTCATTGAGCTGTGTGAAAATGCTGGTGGCATGGTACGCAAATCGCAGTTCATCGTCACGAACGTGGTGCTTTTAGTTATTCGGCTGATGTGCGAGGTTGAGGAGGACGAGACGTGGGTGCAGAAATTTGACGATCCGGAGACCTTCGCTGAGGCCAATGACGCCGACAACTCGATCAGTGACGCTGGTGCCGCGGCAATTGATCGTCTGAGCACGTCTCTTGGTGGCAACGCTGTGCTACCTGTAGCCATCCCGGTCATTAAGGATTTTCTCGGTGATGCCGACTGGCGCAAACGTCGCGCTGGCCTATATGCTATCTGCCTGCTAGGTGAGGGTGCGAAGTCGCTCATGACCCGTGAGCTTGATAATGTAGTGGGAATGGTTTTGCCTTTTCTGAACGATCAACACCCGCGTGTGCAGTACGCTGCGCTGCACAGTCTTGGACAGATTGCCGAGGACTTTGGTGAGGTGGAGAAGGGAAAAACTTTCAGGCAAAATTTCACACAATGGTGATACCGGCGCTTACGGCGTTGGTTCAGAATGAGCAAGGTGTGCTGCGTACCCGTGCTCTGGCTGCCAGTGTGGTTATCAACTTTTGCAACACGAACGTATGTAAGGCCAAGTACGTGATTCCGTACAGCCAAGCTTTGCTCGAGGCTCTCTTTAATACGATGCGCTCGTGTCCACGCCAGGTGCAGGAACAGGCTATCACTGCTGTTGCGAGCGTGGCCAAGGTAATTGGTGATGAGTTTCTCCGCTTTTACGATATTTTCATCCCGCTTGCGAAGGAGGTGCTGACGAACGCCCATGGCAAGGAGTACGCTCTGCTTCGTGGCAAATCCATGGAGTCAATTGCTCTCATCGGTCAAGCTGTGGGCAAGGAGCGTTTTGTAAATGATGCCAAGGAGATCATGGAGATTTTAGTGCGTGTGCAGTCCAGTGAGGAGATGGAAGGCCCAGTGGTGCAGTATGTGGCGCAATCGTGCGTGCGTATTGGCAGTATCCTGAAAGAGGATTTTGTCCCATATTTGCCTCACGTGATCCCGGCGCTTATCAAGCAGGCGCAGATTCAGCCAGACATTCAGCTGTCGGATGTCACTGATGACGATGTCGAGGAGGATGGTCAGACTGTCGATGGCACGGACACCATGACGCTGCAGATTCGTGGCGTGGAAAGAAGCGCCTGGAAATCAATACGAGTGCTCTCGAAGACAAGACAAATGCGTGCAATATGCTTTACCAATCGGCGCTTGATCTGGAGGGTTGGTTCTACCCGTACGTAGCCGAGGTGGCACAGGTAATGATCCCGCTGATTGACTTCGAGTATGTCGAAGACATTCGTATTGTGAGCAGTTTGACCATGGCTAAGCTGCTGAACTGCGCTGTGGAGGGCACGATGCACCACGGCTATGGCGCGACAGCGCCGCAGTTCCCGCAGCAGCTTTTTGAGAAGTTCTTCGAGCCAATGCTGAAGAGTCTACAAGAAGAAGAGGATCTGGAGTGTCTTGGCGCGTTTGCTGAGGCCATGTCGGCGGTCCTGGAAGTGTGCAAAGAAAGCCAAAAAAAGGGTTATCAGGTTGGTATTCCTTTAGAGCACGTCCCGCGCATAGTGGAGATTTTTAAGACCGTGGCGTCCAACAGTGCCCAGCGTTTAATGAAGCAACACCACGAGAACCAACAGGATGAAGATTATGACGCTGAGTCTGCTCGACAACAGACCGAGAACGATGAGCTTGAAGAAGGCATCTTTCGGTCGATGATTGACTCGATCGGCTGGATCGTGAAGGTTCAGAAGGAAGCGTTTTTCCCTGTGTTCAAGGCGCACTTGTTGACATTCGTGACGCCGCTATTGGAACAGAAGACGGTGTCGATGCTGCGCGGTCAGGCTATCTGCATGATTGATGATATCATTGAGCACTGCGATACTTCTGCCCAGGAGCTGCTGCCACTGTTTCTGAACCACCTTGTTCAGGGTCTTGAGGATCAGAGTCCGTCAGTAATCCAAGCGTCAGCTTACGGTATTGGTGTCAGTGCTGAGAAGTGTGGCGCTGCCTTCGATCCCTTCTGTCAGAATGCGCTTGAGAAGATGGTGCACTTGATTAACGTCTCAACGAACGTGGATGATGACGAAGTTGGTGCGGCGTGTGACAACGCTATTAGCGCTGTGGCCAAGATCTGTTTGGCTCGCGAAGGTGCTGTAGACGCTGCCAAAATGTGGCCCATGTGGCTCAGCTGGCTGCCACTTCGTACGGATGTGCTTGAAGCGCAGGAGGTGCATGCTCGACTAATTTCATTGGTGAGCAGCGGCAATGCTCATGTGCTTGGCGCCAATTACTCTAACCTCGTCCAGATCCTGAAGGTGTTCGCATCAGCACTTCGTAAGTTGCAACTGTGTCCGATGTTTTGTCTATATGAGGGGACTGCATTTAACTGGTGTTGTCTTTTGTTTGTCTCTACGAATGCGCAGTATTCGACATGGCGGCGGAGGAGGACGCCGCAGAGGACGAGGAGGTGTCGACTATTTCAGAGGAGTCAAAGCCGAAACTCCGTGAATTGCTGGTCAAGTTGCAATCTCAGCTGCCTGTTTCAGTGGTGCAGAATGCCTGGTCGAAACTTAGCGGTGATGAGCAGCAGGCTCTGTCTCAGCTGTAACATGTCTGGGTAAACGTTAGACAGCGATTGATAGAAGTACGAAAACGATATATAGTAATTAGTTTTGTCGCGTGTGCAAGCTACAAGTAGTAGTGGTTGCTGTGTCGCCTTCATCGATGCACTCTCAAACGCTGTTACTTGAGCAGCATATATGATTCTGTTCCGTACTTGATGGTAAATGTTTGATCCTGTGACCTACATCTCCATGTCGTCTTCATTTGTCCATCAAGTTGTAAGACTTACAAACTTGTAAAGAAATCGATAATCAGCAGCATGTTTCGTTGCAGTTCTCAGTTGTACAAGCTCATATTACTCGAACAAAAAAGATCTACATCACATTACGTACTTATTGAAACCACACAATCCACACCTTATCTTTTAAACAAAAACTTGAGTGCCAGGCCTGCCACGACCACTGCACCAACAATACCCACGCCTACCACTCCATCTTCTATTGACCAACATCCCATAAATGCATTGTATAGACGACAAGTACATTACTAATAATTTCTATCATAAGAATAAGAATACTACTATATCAAATTCATACAAGACCACCAACCTTTTGCAACAACCTCTTTGATCCTTTCGTGTAGTAATTGAGCTTTCATGTGTGATGGTTCAATCTGGAGCAAACGTTCGCAGTACGTGCGACTAGCACGATACTCGCCTAGTCCACATAACGTCAATGCAATCCAATATAAACTTTCCTTGGGAGCATAAGTTTGTTCCAATAGATCTAATACCACATTTTGATTCATACTAAATATCAGAGTAGTCCATTTGTTACATTACAACTTGATTTGTGACCTTCTAGTAATCCAATTGCACGATATTTGTCATCACGCTTGTGACTTTTTGCCAATGCAATAGCATATCGCATTTTGACCTTCATTCCGCAACACAACAATAGCACCAAATACATTCTTTACCTCAAATGATCATAAAAAAGACATACCGCACTGCATTGGTGGAAGCAGAATGTATGTAAATATGATTTGGTACCTGAGGTGACGGCTGTTCTTTTTCTTGTTCTTGTAGATATTCCTCACGTGCATCAGCCAATTCTTCGGGGGAAAACCACTCTGTATCCTTATTGACACTTTTCATCGTCATGATAGCACGTGTCGACGCGTTACCAGCGTCCTTTCACGACAGTTGTTAAGTGCGTTTGCTTCTTCGTGATGCAATCAATCGCTCTATAACTGTTTGCGCAAATGAAACAGACCAAAAATGATTTAGTTCGACCAAAATTCATATTGAAGTTCATGCTTTCATAAATTTGACTACCAGTTATTGACTACCAGCCCAATCACATCAGGACGATTTCGTAATGGAAGACGACGAAATGAGTAAAGTAGAATAGTCCTTTTGATAAGCATTGCAAACATGGAGGAGAAGCTGATCACGGACATACAAGCAATGTTCGTGATATAATATAATTGGTCAGTATGAAATAATTGGTATCAGAAATAATGGCGCACAGTAGACGTACCTGAGCATTAAGCACGTTAATGAATATGATTCCACTGAACGCCATGACAAAAATACAGCTGTAAAACAATGTTAGCCACAAACGGCTAGAACCATAGACATGTATGCCAGTGCAAAGCGAGTAATGGAGTGTCATACCTGGTGCTCAAATAGACGTCTTGCTTGATATGTCAGCACGGCAACGATCACGTGAGGCAAGAACCGAACCAAGGCGAAAGATGTCCACTGCGCGCGCCAGACCCATCGTAATAATGAAGACTGTCGCACAGAGTAATTGCTCATCGTCAATAGTTTCCGGGTGTGCATGAACACTGAATGCAGCTCGCAGACAAGTGCGAGTGACAGCAGTGGTACGCCAACCTTTCTGGTGAGCGCAGAAATGTAGCAGCTGAGCACCACTACGTGGTGTAGAACGATGCCTGGAGACTTGATGTAAAGACCGTTCACCACGTAATCCCACAAGTCATACGCAAAGTATCCTGTCAAAATACTCATACGTCAATATCAAGTCCATGTAATATAGAGCTTCCAATCACACCCATCTTCTTACCCGTTGAAACAGAGGTGGCGACGAATTCGCTTCTCGTGACAGTATTTACGTAATCGCCATGTAGTGAGTGTGACGTAAGCAGTGCAAAAATTGCAAGCGCCGACGATAGTGCCGAATGCAGTATTGATACTGCTGTATTGCTGCACAAAAGTTGGCTGAACGTCGACAAGGCAGGAAACGACTTCACCTTGGATAAAGCAAGCGGGACAATCACTACCCGAATCGTCGCAAAAGCCTGAGATCCAACAGCATCTGTAACATGAACACTATGCCCAAAACCATATGCAAAACGGTAAAAATGCAATTGCTAGATGATTATATACCATTGAAGAAGCCACGACGATCCAGAGCGTTGAATTGCTGTACAACTACCAAGACAATGTCAATGCATAAGGTTATTCAAGCCAATGTGATAGCAGTTCCATATTATAAAGTCTCACCAGGATCACACACATGCTGATCCACGTGATGATAAGCGCTTTAGTAGACATAGGTATCACCGAGTAGATGCTTTTATACTCAGTTAAGATATGTGGCTTTTTCTTGTGTGTTTCTATTTGTTATGGCAACCGTCCTTCAGTATCAATCGGTTTGCCATGGAATGAATATGTATGACCACTAATACAAGGACATTGAAACGGAATTATTACCAATCCGAAGCATCATCAGTCTATTGAAACCGTACTATGGACTCATCAGTCATTATTATTATTACTAGACGAATTGAAGACTTGAGCATCTGAATTTTTCAGTCTGCTTTCGTCGAATGATACAGAGCAACGACAAAATGCTCTTGATCTTTTGTTGACACATTGAAACTTTAATTAAATTCTACGACGTCGTATACAATCAAAAGCTTGGGCAAATTCTAAGTGGGAAATGGGGGCAATAAATTGTTTTTTTTTTGTAAAATACTACAGACTGGAAGTGAAAACGAGGCTGCTGCGTCAATCCATCGACGGCAGTTATACACATATCTTCTCTCTTCGTATCCAGATTGGAAAAAAAATCTTCAGAGCTCGCATTGCCAGCTAGCGTTGACGTCGTGAGCCAGGACTTTTTTTTCTTACTTGTCTTGTCTTGAGTCACGCCGCGTCTCTTCGTTTGTATGCACTTGATCTTCTGATAAATTATGATGATGCGGGGAGAAAGACAGAGCTAGCTGGAGACAAACCTCTTTTTTACTCGTTCTCGCGACAAATGCGCTGGAATATCGTCAAACGAGAAAACTTGGATGTCGCAGACTCCGTGCTGCTCGCAGACCGCGGTGAGACTGCATTCAACGCCTCGGCACTGCAGCAACTTGAAATGCTGCTGCGCAAGTCAAAATTTCCAAGGTCGCTGCTTTGGAACGAATAATCGAGGAACGAGTGCTGGCTTAGGTAGGAATCAAACTCCGGCTTAGGCGGCGACAGGCCAGACAGGGGTGCCAATGACATTGGCTGATTGAAGCCGCCAAACGGCTGGGACAGGTCGATCGGCTCCAGCCCATTGCCATACGGGTTCACGAGTAAATCCTTCGACTGCGTCTCCTGATCGTCTGACTCGCTTGCAGTACTCGAAAGGTCGCTGCTGCCGTAGTTGACAAACCGCTGGTCTTCTTCACCAGGGTGTCGAGTGTGAATGAAGCGGCATCGTGAACCATACATGCACTTGCCCGTAGACAAATAGGCCTTGCAGCGAGTGGTTTTGTACTTGGGGTGGCGCAGTACACCACGCAGTTCCTCCCTCACCGTGTGCAAACTGACACTTGGAGCCATAACGACAGCTTCCATTTTCCGTATAGTGCTTGCAAAGTTCAGTCTTATAAAGATTGTTGCGAGCTGTCTGTGGTAGACGTCCACAGTCAACGATATCGCCATTGGCGAGGACGTGCATTCGGTTTGGGTTGCCGTAGCTTGGAGTCTCAGCAGGTCCTATGTCAGTCATCGTGAGTGTATCTCGTTGTCTTGGTTAATATAATTGTAATTGTGCGATCGAAACGTCTATGAACTTGTATCTGCTAAGGCTAGAGATGGAAAAATGAAGAGATGACAGGGCTGAGAGAGAGAGAGATCGAAGCTAAGAAAGTCGTCAATGAGGAGAGAAGCTCGAAAAAACCAAACTGTTAATCTCGAATACGAGCGAAGTTGCGTTGTGACGTGCTCAATGCGCCAAGATTTTCGATCTCGACGGCACGAGTGGACAGTGATAGAATTTCTCACAAGAGCTGAACTTTGGGTAAAAGCAGTCGTATCAGGCTTGACGACGGACTACAAAAGAGTGCAACACACAGACACAACCCTGTCTCTTCTGCCTATTCTTGACTCGAAAGTTGGATTTTCATACAAAAAACAAGATAATCAGGTTCAGTGAAACCTTATCCTAGTGTAGAAACCCATCGAATGGCAAGCATGACCTTATTCCTTTGCCAACCTCTGCCCTACGTTCCGTAGCTGTTTTTGTCTGAATGAGGACGCGACGTAAGATTGATAATTTCTTTGCCTTAGGAATGATTTATATGTATATATTAGCAATAGTAGATCATTGGATGCACTTTTAATGATAGGCTTTTGTGTTGTTTTCTTGTATTTGTTCATAACTACTGCACTCCTTTTCCCCGCCATCGTGCGTTCGGGATAGGCACACGCCCAGGCGACGACAGCTTCGCAACTTGCGCTCGCTACACGGCGATCAGATATGGGGCTTAACACGGCACAAATGCTACTCCACGACCATTCTCTCCATCTGGTTCCATTCGTCTCGTGCTCTTCCAACTGTTGAGCCCCGTTTTTTGCTGCTTACAGATGGCAAGCGCTTGTACTGACTGATGAGTGCACAAGGCACAGAAGCAAGCGTGGAAGAGAGAGAGAGAAGGGAATTCAAAAAGGGCCGGCATAGCTCGGCGCACATCGCAGCCAAACAATGTTAAGCACCATCCGCACAGCAAGATCCAATGATTGCTCGACGATCCCCATCGCTGAACAGACTGCGAGCCTGCCGGGGTCGTTAGTGTCGATTACCAGCACAAGCACGTGCGATTCCCGGCCACAGATGGCGCGAATTATACTTGCTGCTCAACATTCCATTGTTTGCGCTGGCAACATGAAATTTGTGCGGCCACCTTTGAGGCTGTTAGCCTCAACAACAGCAGTCATTGCTGCCTTATTATTTCGCCGTTAAGACCTGTCTATCCGGACGCACGTAGTGCACCGAAAAGTACGACCGGCTGACGAGAAACTTTTGATGTACTGACTATCTCTTAGGCGGTCGTATAGTTGTAGCAATTTCTAAGCAATACGTCGATGGTTCCCGCGTCAAACGTAACGTTTGTTAGGCTATAGAATAAGTGCGATCGCTGCAGGAACAGAAAAGCACACCTTTGTCATTGTTGTAGCTGGTGGACATGTTGTCCTATCGACTTTGCTAATGCTGTGGCAACGAGATCGTAAAAGCCACAACTTTGACGCAAAAAATTGCTATGCTAACTTGCTATGCTAACTTGCTATGCTAACTTGCTATGCTAATAGTTTAAATCTCTGTAGGGTCATTTGATTACATGCTCCAGTCCGAATGCTACTTAAGCTTCAACAATTGTGTCGCGTAATTGATACGGGATCACCAGTCAAAGAGACATTGTCTCCTGGATGATCAGGAGCAGAGACCATGTCAAGACGAAGTGGCGATGCGGGCAACAACGCGACAGCTACCTCAACGTCACAATCGCAAAACCAGGACGATAGAGAACTGTCGAACGCTGGTTCTGTCCCGCTATACAATGACACCTTTGCTATTGACAGCAAGGTCTGCTTCTTTTATTAACGAACAATTCCTCTCCCCTCAAGGCGTAATTGCTGAAGTGCCTGCAGACTTTTCCACGAGATCCCAGTAATGTGCGACGTTTTTGGCCTCCATCACCTTCCGCGCTGTGACAGACGTCCGACACTCCTGAAAACGAAAGTTGTTGAAAGCCTTACGAGCGACGACGCCCTGCCAGACAAGCAGACACCCGTTGCCGTGCTTCGACGAGTCCTCATCTTCACTATCTGACTCCTCGTCTGCCACACGGTCCCCATTCCAGTCGATGCGTCGCATCATTAGCTTCGAATACTGCTTGATAGCCTTCTTACCTCCTTCCACTACCACCATGTTGATATTACTATCTTTACAAAGTAGCACACCACCCGTGAGATGATACTGTTGCGCGTTGACATCGACCTTAAAACGATGCTGCGGGTTCGAAAGATCCGGCACCCTTTTCGTAGTAAAACCAAATTTAGTCGAGTATGCGGAACATGAAAGCACTAAGAGAAAGCAGTGACGTACTTAAAGAGCGCCACATGAATATCGCCAGCGGCATCTTTTTTGATCTTGCGAAGCTTTTTCTCCCGACGCTCTTCGGGCGTAAGCTTACGCGCGAGGTTGCGCATTTCATGATTTTTCTCACGCTGCGCTATCTGTTCGCGAACCTGGCGCTCAATTGCCGACGGGTCGGCCACGGCTTGCTCTGACAGCACGCGCATCATATTTGACAGCTTCACCTTGGGCTCAGGAGGCGGCAGCAAGCCTAGTGCAATCTTGTCTTGCTTCTCTTTTTCACGATCAGCGCGGTTTTGACGCCGAATTTTCTTCCGCTCCTGCATTGTCAAAACATGTTAGCATTGTTACATACTTCACCAAACAATTCAGTTCAGCACGCAATACTTACTGCACCAGTGAGCATGAGCGGAACAGCTACGAGTGTGTCGTCGTGCTTTACAATCAGGTTGAGACGCACAGGATGCTCAATAACATGTGCAGTCCCACAGTATTTCAGTTTCATATCAGCGTATGATACCGTAACAACTGAATGCTCTTTACGGACATTAGCCTTAATAAACCCAAACTTGTCCACTAAAACACGCTTGTTCTGTGGAAGGTATTCCACATCCCACCACTCTATGTCAGGTGTACATGTCTCTGGCTGAGGTGGAATATCAATGTTGTCAATTTCCATTCTACTAGTCGTGTCAGCATCTTCCAAGACGGTGCTTGCATCATCATCAATAGAAACAATCGATTCCTTTTGATATCCTCGCGGGTTACGCCCCGACGTAAACCCAGCCATCATCTTCTTGGCGTCACGGGCGCGCACTTGTTCTGCCTGCTTCACATACGTTCCTTGCGCAACAAAGTTAAATGTCTTGCGAGCGCGGCTGCATCTCGTCATCATACACACAAATAAAGCAAGAGAAATGTCAGCTCGCTCAATATCACAACCAAGCTACTTTTTCATCTAGTCACGAACGTTTCTCGTTTGGTCGTCTTTAGCCTCGGGTCCACTGTCTCCAGCCTATCTTGTTCTTCCACCGTGCGATGTAATAAGTACGGATTCTGACGTTTCTTTGAAGCATCATCTCCTCTCACTCCTCCTTGGTTTGCCTTCAGCGTGGCTACGGATGTCACCATCGGTTTCTCTGCAACGACGTTCCCTGCGGCATCAATCTCTCGACCCTGTTCGTCCAAAAGCAATGGTGCTGGCATAAAACTCCCGCTAAGAGATATATCACGCTGCGTTGCTGCAGGTGCAGCTGCCACAGCTCCTGCCGCAGGAGCTCCAGGCTTCCGCAACAGCGCCTTAATGTGGCTCATCTGGCTCTGCACCGACTTATAAATCTGGTCTGTTCTACGTCTTTTCTCCTGCTCAATCCGACGCATTTCTTCAGAATCCAACGAAACCGCTTTCACACTTGTTATGGCTGCTGACATGGATGCAGTTGTTGTAGCAGCGGACCCGGGAATAGCCCGCGCGATCTTGGCTGCTGCAGCTCGTGCCAAAGCTGCAGGATCCAATGAAAATGATGACACAGCAGTATTCACAGCCTGGTTCTTGTCTACTGGTGCTACAGAATCTGGTTGAGCATCGCTAAACCTGCTCTTCCGCTTGCGTCGAGGCGCTTCGGCATGTTGGTCCATCGTAATCGAGTAGAATTGACCTTGGCTGTATTTAGAGTAATTTCAACCAATGATGAGAAGGAGCTTTGTAGTGTAATATGATTGGTTATAATCTGATCAGCTTTGATTTAATGGAATAAATACATGAAATTTTGCAAGTCTATTTATAGTTATAGTTTTTTGGTGCTGTCTGATATCTTGATACAACCAGGTAGTCAAAAGAATATGGCTATGTATGTAATTTGATGTCGCTAAAAATAGACTAGGACAGTTTTGTCTGAGAGAAAAAAAGCCAGAGCGACGGAAACGGTACGAATCGTGGAAAAGAAGAAAACATTCTTGTTTTGTATCGGCAATTTCTTGATAGAGTAACTGGTATTCATACAAGTGAGGTATAGCATAGTAATTGTATCTAAACCCTTTTCAAAACGATCCAGTAGCTTCTATCATTTCTTACAATTCATTATCTCTTCCAACTAAGCCTACAATTCCATCTCTTCTACTTCCTCACACAAACAAAAAGAAGACAAACTCCATACAAGTTTTAGTCTGACGAGTAGAAAGACGCAATTAATACTACCGAATCAAAGTGTACTCAAATGGCGTTCAAGACGTTAGAAAAGAAACCAAGTCTTGCGGAAGTACTGGACGAATTACAAAGTCGTTTCCTTGTAAATCTTCCTGAGTCTGAACTGGTCTCTAGTGAACGTCTTTTTTTCCAGATTGAACAATGTTATTGGTTCTATGAAGATTTTTATGCGGATCAATATGCCCATTTACAACATGTCAAATTAAATGATTTTGCTCGTCAAATGTTTGCTCATTGTCCTCTCTTACAACCACTTGCACATTGTTGTGATGACTTATTTCAAGATTTTAAAACCTATCAACGTCAAGTGCCAGTAGTCGGCTGTATCTTGTTGAATTCAAAACGTACAAAGCTTGTACTTGTACGTAATTGGAAAGGAACAAGCTGGACATTTCCTAGAGGAAAAGTAAATGAAGGAGAATCCGATTTGGATTGTGCACGACGAGAAGTTGCAGAAGAATGTGGATATGATGTGGGAAATCATCTTGAACCGAAACAACATTTGGAGTTTGTAGCGAATGATCAACGCATGCGGATGTATATTTGCCCTGATGTACCAGAAGATTATGCATTTGCACCGCAAACACGTAAAGAAATTAGTACAATTCAATGGTTTACTTTTGATGGACTGCCGAAGAAAACATGGAGTGTCATGCCGTTTATGCCGAGACTAAAACGATGGGTCAAGGGACACAAAATAACCAAGAAGAAGGGATGTCGTGCTGGTATAAGCAGCACAGGACGTGCAGCTTCTGTACCACGCAACCGACCGCTCACGTCGAGCGTGAATGATGTGGTTCAGAAAAGTCGCGAGGACATTTTGAATAAGAAGAAGACGCATCGACAGGAGAGATCGATTTCAACTCCACATAATATCAGACCAGCTGCTGGAAACATAAAGACGGCTAACCGTGGTCACTTTGGTACAGAATTTGACACAGCCACATTCTATGATGGCTTGAATGGCGAAACATTTGGCAACGCAGAGAAGGGTTTTAGCGTGGACGATATGTTTAGTGTGAATGAGCGTTTGACGGGGCGGAAGTTTGAGTATGATGGCAATCCACATGATTTTGGCAAATCGACATTACATTCATCTGCAACACGAGCAGTAGCTCCAATATTTAATCCAAAGGGCCCGAAGCCGGTCCAGATTCTTACGCGACGTTCGTCAGCGCCGTTGAAAAGCGTGGAAGAGGAGAAATGTCCATCACCTGGTCCGTTGCGTCAATCTGCAGCTTCATCACCATTTGGGTATTTCCAGTTTGATGCCGTCGACATCATGGCTGTCGTGACATAATGTGAGCGTGGCGTTAGACACATAGGTTGAAGGAGTGAAACTGCTGTTGCAAAAAGACTGGAGTTTTAGGCATTGACCGCACGACAGCAAAATGTCGTTTCTCTTCGCTTCCGTTTGGCAGAAGCAAGAGTGTCCTGCATGAGGATTTTCGGTCCTTCGATCAATTGTGTCGTTTCATAATTTGCATTTTGTTTTCTACTTTGTACAATAGTGAAGCTGCTGGTCGTTCCAAGATGTTCATGGACAAAAAATGGTAAGAGCACACGGGAGACCAGAAGCTTTGGTGTTTTTTAACACCACCCTTTGAGAAGAGATACACGTCGTAGCGGTGGTTGTTGTTGTTCCTTGCAGTCAAGAAGGCGTCCTGTTGTTATCCTATTATGTAGGGCAAAGACGAGGAATGAAAAATGCACACCAAGTGCGGCAACGTGACGTCGTGAATCGTTTTCATCTGGTTAGTAGACTACTGTGCTGCTGATGCGCAGCACAGTAGACCTCTACGTCCTTATTGAGATGACTGCGAAATTGCAGCGTCTACCTTAGTGGCCGCAACTACTCGCCAGGTGCGGTGGTGTAAGAAATCCAGCACACTAGGACAAGCTGCAAACACGAAACACTAAAACAAACACAGTGGTCACATGTCAACAGACCGCTGTGAGCAATGAACATTATTGGGAGATAGAATTCCTTACCCAAAGAGCAGATAGTTTCGAAAAAGGCGGTTTTCAGGAGTTGGTTCAGCTACACTTCCTTTCATGCAGTTGAGCTGCGTCACGACATCACGAACATTTTTAGACGGAGAGCTACATTATTTGCAGTATCCATTCATGCGTTAAACAGCGACATACCGTAAAGTATGACACAGCAACACCAGTGTACAGAAGCGACACGTAATAGGCGATGGAGCCGAGTAGCTGAAAGACGACCGTATTAATTACTAACGGAATATACTTGTAGCCGGAAAAGGATACCAAATCAAGGAACGAGATGGAGCTGTTTAGCACGTAAAGGCAGGCGGCCAGTACCCCGATTTCGATCAGCTGCATCACAAGACAGTAGCTTGCATCCTTGGAGATCACATCTGGGCTGAACCTGTTCAGTTTTGTAAAAAAATGTATCAAGAAAACGAAGCATTGAGAAACGCCACACTTCGCAACGTACTGGTTTGAAGTGCCCTTGGAATAGCCTACAATCAGTATGTAGGTGAGAAAGCCCATCAACGGGATGTAGAGATCTGGTGCGTTGCTGTCACAAGTCGGAGGGGCGTACTGCATCTGATAATATTCACATACAGCATTACTGTGCTAGAGCCAAATGATATTGAACTGATCCAATCAACAGACATACCGGCTTTGATTCATCTTGCTCGCCGTTGCCTATACGGCGCCAGTTCTTGTGTCGAAATGGAAGCAGCAAGATCTAGCCATTCAAAACACTGAGTGTAAAATTTAATGGTAGCACAGCTTGCAGAATTGCAGAATCCACACCTTAAGACGACTCTTGACGTAAGAGTTGTTGACAGTAAAATAGTATTTGAGGCTGCCCCAAACGCCATAAGCTCCCGGAAGGTACATCTCTGATTGCTTCTGGAGGAAATCCTGTGCACTGTTCATTGCCAGTCCTGCCATCGGGTTGCTTCACATAATATCAAGAAAAAAGAGTCAACACATAAATCTTACTACCCTCACTATTTCATCATAGAAAAAGGTTTACCAACCTGGAAAACTGATTAATAAAATCAGCCTGTTGCACTTGCTGAGGATACTGCACATGCAGATGTGGATTGCTGCCACTCTGCAGCGTATGGTCCGGAGCATTTCCGCCGCCATATCCATCAAAGTTATTTCCATGCACCGTATGACGGTGCTGGAAGCCTGTTGGCATTGATTGAAACTGCTGAGACGGAGCCATATTCGACACCGGAGGATGAGCCTTTATATCAAATACATTACACCACCCACAGACACGTCAGACAAACCCGGCAGTAGAAAGATGCAGGGGGAGGGGAATTGATCCTGTCACTGAAAAAAAAAAACTCACGTCCTGAGGGAAGGCAGCAGCACCGGCCTGCTGATTAGAAGGTCCTACATTATGTAACAAAGGCTGTACTGGAGCTGCCGAAGCGGTAGGTTTCTGAAAGAATTGATGGGCAGGTCTGCGCTGTGGCATCCGCTGTTGCCCCATTGCAGGCTGCGACGAGAACTGTGGCATATTGCCAACACCTGACGTCGAATTGTATTGCATTGGTTGTTTACGAGTGTGGAGATTCGAGAATGAGTCTAGAGATGATTCACAAATGTAGAGATAATGAATGTCAAGGGCGATAATTAGAACAAGAAGATAACACAAGAGTTAACATCGCCATGAGCTTTCTCTGTCTGTACCTGGTTGGGCCATAATGTAAATAACCGAGTCTATTATCGAATATATCGATAGAGATATATATGTGTATTGTACATACAATTCCGTGTCATTCTGACGATATATTTGCCAGCGTGACATTTGTGGCTGATAATGACAAATTCTTAGAAGCAGTGCTACAATTTATTAATGAGTTTTACGCTAATGATGACAAATTCTCAAAAATTACAGTAGCTTCTGATCGAATTGATGAAAATGTTGAACACTCATCACTGATTTCTAAAATACCGTTTCAACCTAATAATGTTAGTAACGTCAATGAACTCCATCCATGTTTACCTTGTTCAATACAACCAAGTAGTAATCATGATAACAATGTGACAGTGCACCATCACTCGAATCCACAACGTGAGCTTAAAATCGTCTACTTACACGAGAAAATAAAGCGTCTAGACAAAGTTACAGTAGATACAACAATATAGAAAGACTAGATTCTGTACAGTCAGGACACACGCTAGAAAGATGAAATCATTCTTCTTTTCAAACGAAGAGCATTATTTTTTGGATAATGTAAATGTATGGAGAGACACTACTGCTCGTGAGAAAAACAAACGAAAAGTCGCAGCGTATGAAAACGCTCGACTAAAAAGTAGGTTAGCAAAACAACAGGAAGTGGCCAAGAAATTGGAGAAGATTCTGCTCACACGGGCTCAGGAACAGGTTTGTTACACTTGCGGTACTTGTGATTTTGACGCTAAGAAATGAGCGTTTTGATACTCATGATTCCCTTGTCATGCAGATCGCTGAATGCTCGACAACGCTACAGCGTCGGGTTGACGTGGGATAGCCTTATCCTTTAGGGCACAAATTGGACTTCCAAGCTAATGCTGTAGATTTTCAAGGACTACTGCAATATCTTGACGATGCTTACAGCCAAGTTAATGCAGTACTGGTTGCCAATGGTCTTGCTTGGAAGGAAATGACACAGCAGGACGTTCAAATGCGGGAAGGTGTGGATGGAATGTATTATGAAGTGTTTTCAAATAAGGTTATGCCCTTTGAACATCGTGCCACAGCGGAGGCTACATGGAACTATTTCAAGGGCTTGAAGAAACACCGGGGAACACTGTATGCAAAAGAAACTTAGGTACGTACGCGCTATCAAGAAAATCTACCTGCAATGTTGTAACGTTGCGGTGTAATGATTTGGTGTTATTTCCTTTGGACAGAATCTCGATACGCCGAATACAATCATCGAGTACTTCTCAGAGGAACTGGTCGCCGGTAATTCGAGCACTGACGTATGCATCAAGCAGGTTGTACGTCGATACGTGGAAGCTGAACGTGACATTGTCGTCTGGGTGGCATCAATTGTACCTCTTGATATCGCACAAGAACTCTTCGGCGGTTTCACTTCCCGTCACCGAAGCTACGCTATAATCAAGCGAGCCAAAGCTTCAACACCTCAATGCCAACTACCTTTGCTTCAGCTTATTTCACAGATCATGCTGGACACGCAGACAGGTATTGTTTCCGACCCCAAATACGTCCGAGCACTCACCGATTGTCTGCTGAATGATGCTGCACGAAACATAAAGGCCGACCAACAGCTAATTGAGAATGTTCTTATGGACCAAGTGCTACGGCCATGATAAAGCGCCATGGATTTAGCCTTTGTCACGGCATTCTAATGTGGATGATGCGTGTATATTGAGAAAGTTTTGAGCTTGGTGAGAACGTTACGACGTCGAAGAAGCTTTGACAGATATTGCAACGAGTAACAATACATCAATTGGACTGCCTTTGGTCGAAAAACAGACGGAAACGTCTGTAAAGTGTTTGCTAGTGTTGTCATTTTTGTAGTGTTCCTGGTAATGTAAATTATAGATCAGCACAAAGGTGCTTAACAAGGCAACGGACTGCTTGCTGCATGATATTAGTCTCGAACCAAGTAGTTGCCGCAGGTTTTAGGAACTACTGGAGTACGTCGATGAGGCATCTAATGACATACAGGTTATGGTTCATAAGAATATACATCATTGATTATACATTGAATCAACGAACCCTTTTATTCATAATGCTGTTTAATCTTCCATCATAAAAGCTGATTTTTGTATTCACTCATCAGATTCTTTGATATAACACCACCACATACCCAGTCAAGTTTTTCAGGCTTTCTCTTTCGCTTCGACACTTTACACCTACTGTGGCTTCCGGACCCAATCGATGTACCAACCCATAGTTTTGCACTTCGAGTAACTAGTAGGCGAACATCGGTGCAAACTACTCTTGAACCAATCACTCCAACCGGAGCGTCGTAATTTTGCTCTCCTCGCTTGCAGCCACAGAAAGCTTATTGTCAGGACAATTGTTCATGCGGGGCTCCAGTTACAAAGCATCTCGGGAGCAGACTTTCCGGTCGCACATACAATGTAAATGTATCTGGGACAACATCGGTGACTATCCCAATAAAATATCCACAAAACATTGTATCATGCCTGACCAAAGCACCTACCCAAACTTGTTGTAATCAGCAACAACGAGGTGCCTCGAGGCGATCCAGTACATCCTCAGCACGCAACTTTCGTCACCTACACGATTCATTGACCCTATCTTTTCACAGCCTCATCCTGTTTATTTTCATCCACCATACCTTTTTTCCTGAGCTTCCCACTTCGATGTGCTTTTCCGCTCTTCCAATCGAAACTTCTCAACAAAAAAAACTCGTATTCATATCACTACTATAAGTATTCGGTGCATTGAAAAACACTGGGATCCAATAGCAGCAGCTAATATACCATTAGGTGTGCTACAAACGCTTCAGGCCAATCTAGTGGCGTCATGGTGTCGTCTACTGCAGCCGCCGCTTAACAAAGCTCCTCGAAACTTCGTACAGACAACTTCGTGAGCATTACTTTTACCCACTGTTTCGACCCACAGCAGTGCAACAGCATTTGAAAGAGCTCTGAAGCTTGTTGTACGTTGCATGGGGCAATAATTGCGTCGTTGAGGATGGAGACTCTTATGATAGAAACGTTTGTGATGATGATGTATTTCTAAAAAAAGTCGAATGAATTTGATTTCAAGGTTTATTGGGTAGTATTTATACAATAATTCATAATTGTAACAGAACAATTTCATATGAATACAATTCATGCACATTTTTGGCTTATTAGTATTAGCACACAGATTTGTCGTGAATGCTAATAGTAAGTATAGTAAGTCCAAGCGACAAAAACTTATGGTGCGGCTTGTATAGAAAAAGCAGGTCAAGAAGGCAGCAATGGTGCAAGTACAAGCAACTCATGCCGGAGAATACAACGAATTCTGGCAACTGCATGACCTTAAATTTTGATCTTACATACTAAAATCTGTCTTCATCTGGAGAAGCTCACATGGTGGATGCATTTTTTCTTATGTTGTGCGTATCTCTTGAGCTAGCTTTTAGCACCAATATGGTTTGCATGCTTGCAGTGATGATAGGGCAGAGTATAATAGTTGTGTCTTTGAAAACTATTCTTGCATACAGAAGTGAAGCAGAAACCGTACAGAAAGCCGAAAGAAGCTGGCTGTAGGAGGTGAATCATCGAGTGAGAGGTGCTGGAATTTCTATTGGAGTGATAAAATACGACACCTTTTTACATATGTGCACAATATGTGTATGACTGATGCAATTATGATGGTAACTTGTTTCGATTAGCGTCGGACGGGGTTAAGAAAGCTGATTGCTCTAAATCAAGAGAAAGCGTCATGCTTCATTTTCTTAACTGAGGCTTTGTTTACTAAAAGCTTCAACGTGACCGTGAGCTGGAAGATACTGTCAAAGACAAGAACTGCATATTGCTGAAGATACCTCTTGATGACTATACACGCTTATACATGGCAAACGATAAGGTTGTTGTTATTGACACTTAGGCTTCCAGTATCTAGCCTTAGCTTGCATTGCAGATACTGCCTTATTGCCGTTTCGATCTAAGCCGTTGTATGTCGTCCACGGAACCTTTTTTCACGTGCCCAAAGATTGCGGCATGTTGAAGGGAACTTGTCCGTGCTCGAGAATAAACTCCTTAGCCTGCATCTTTATCATTTTTTGGATTTAGTTAGTTGGTCTTACGTCTCTTCTGCATCGCTTTTGATATGCGGCGGATACTCATGTCATTCTTCGATACCATCTTATACATAGCATCAATCGTCTTGCTGCCACGTATCTTCCTTAGTTTCGATAGAGCTGTTACTGGTGGGCTCGGTTTTAGTGCGACATTGTAAGCGTCCACATAACCCTCCCAGCTCTTCATAGGAACGCCCAGAACAAATTGACCTGCGCCCTTGTCAAGGCCAAAAAGTGGATAAACTGTGGAGAATATTCTTTACAATCCATACCTGATATAGCTCCGCGAGCACTCGATGTCTGACGGTATTTTCTTGTGGCTGCCGGACCGACCCAAAAAGCACCATATCGACTAGTTTTTTATCGTCGTACGGAAAAAGCTTGAGAAATGGTATCTGCAAATTGGTGTTGCGATCGAAAAAGTTATTCATCTTCTTAATTGCATCAAGTAGTCCACCCGTATGGAAAAAAGAATAATCTTGTATATCAAGGCCAAGCTTGGTAAAGACGTCGTCAGGAGGTGTTGCCGTACGTAGCCATTCTCTATGTCTTCAGGTAGTTTTTGATCGGTCGTCCACTTTTGACTTATCATTTCGAAGTGCTTTGCCAGATCTTCGTCATTGTAGAAATTATTAGTTGTGTCCAAGACCGTGAATTGCTTGTCAGGGTACATCTTGTTGTAGTGGGTCATGTAGACGACCCAATTGAGCAAATTTGAGTTCTTTGTAAGCTGCAACATACTGTAATTGTGAATCAATTTTTTCATTCTATAAAATGGATGGTGAATGTTTCATTAACCAAGACTTTACGCCTCCGGCGACTGCCTTGGTTTCTGCGATTTCTGCAGTTTTTGCAATTTCTTTGAGTTCTGAAGCATTACCACGACGGAGATTCTTCGCAGCAGTAATGAACATTTGCACCTCTTCAAAGTTGTTTAGTTAGTAACAAGAAACTGAGAGAGAGAAGTTTCGCTCTTATGGAACGTTTCCCAAGTCTTGAGCTCAGTCCACTTCTTCAAATCAGGTTCCTTAATAAACCTTTGTCTTAATGCAATATGTTCCAGCTTCATGAAATTCTCGTCTAGAGGAATATCGTCCGGGATGGATTCGAGTCCATGGGTCACACGTACCGCATTGGCCGCCTGGAGCTCAGCTTCAGTCTGAGAGCTCATGCCAACCGCTGCGATCGATTTGAGCGCAGTAGCCACAACCCCCCTCTCATCTTCGCCGTCGTTAGCGTGCTTGAATCCTCTTAACCGCCTCTTGGCGGACGCTTCATATCGGCCAGCTGGGGGCAAGCCAGTCGACCTGACGACGTCTGATGGCGTGGCACGAGAACTAGTACCCGATAGGCAGATAGCAAGAGACCCAAACATAATGGCAAGCTGAAGGCGCATGATTTTGCTTGGACTACTGTAGTGGTAGAAGGCAAATGCGAATATGGCAACAGCATCAAAGGGATACATATCTCCAACCGCTGGGTATTATGATACGGTACATTATCGTACGTTCAAATAAGCTAAAATAAAAGGGGTTAGAGACGAGATTAGGAAGTGACGCTTCTCAAGCCGGTCAGTTGATTGGAGCGAAAAACTAAGGCTGACCTTCTTACAACTGAAGCTTTTTGCATCAGCAATCACCATCGTGTTGAAACTGATATTTTGTTTAGTGCATGAACAGTGCAATGTGTAGGACAAGCGGCATGGAATGTACTGGAGAGCTGGAGCCTTGATGGGACATGGAGCATAAGTTTACCGCATAAAAAAGTGATTTGAAGATTCGTGCACACAGACCTTTAAGTTTAGCCACTCTTTAGGTTACACCGCAACTTGATGCGGTTGCGCGCACAGACCTTCGAGTTTAGTCACTCTTTAGCAACTTGATGCGGTTGTGACCGGAATGCATCGGACTGGACGTCGAAAGTAGAAAGCGCAAAGCTGGCTCTATCAAGCTCAAGACTCGTATATAACAACGGCGCATTTATAAGCTCAGAAAGCTCTATTAGCTCATACACAAACTTTCTTGCATGTGGCGTCGCATAAACAACATGTCGGAGACTTGACAAAGATCGCACGAACGTTTCGTTGACTGGAGAAATAGCGAATTGAAGGTTGAAGGATTTTTATGCATTCTAATGTGTCGAGGTCGGTAGCCCGGTCCACGTGTATCGAGCTAGTCCAATGTATGCATTTCGATAAGTGTCTTTATAAGCGAATTTTACGAGCGGCAGTCAAATTGGTGACTTCAAGCGCACGACCTCCTCAAGATCCTCGCCGCTGTACAACAGAGACGCACTATCCTCGAAGGTCGCACCTGCGTTAAGCAACCAAATTCACACTGTTCTGAGATTAGTTAGCACGCAGTACTAGGCGAGTAGGAAGCTGTGCCAGGCGCGTTCTACACTGTAGCAAACTCATTGACACGCGCAACTCCAAGCACTTTCATGCTATTGAAACGCGAAAAGACGTCAAAGATAAAGGTTTCAAGCTTAATGCCTCTGTTACTTGTTGGGGTGATCGTGGCAGTGCCTTCATCATTCACGTACGGAATCTTCGTCTTGGCCAAGTGATATTCAGCGTTGGTCCGATTGCAGCAAGGAAGTCCAGTCCGAAGAAGTGGTTGCAAATGTTGGCGGCTTTAATGCTGAGCTTGCCAGTCGAAGGGTGTGTTTTGATGCAGCGCGGTCAAGCTCGGAATACGCTACCACTCAATATGCGCCATTACGTTTAGCAACTATTCCCAGAATGAGTTTTCCATTGAATAACGCATTGTCCACCGCAGAAAGACATGCAAGCATTTCACACCACACGCCTGCAGTTTGACATGGCTCCACTTAACTGCATTGCTTTGTAAATGCCACCATTACCCTCTGATGCTGTCGCCATCTTGTGTACATTCTTAAAAATGAGCTCTTTATCCGTTGTAAAGCACGACAACATACCTTAAGGGCAAAAACATGTGCGACTCTTTCAAGCCAAAAAAACTTGTAAAGAAGTCTATAGTCGTATCATGATTCATCCTAACGTAGAGTGGAATTTAAATCTCCTCACTTAATCTTGTATGAAATTTTATCTAACTAAAGCTTCTAGAGCCACAAGTCTTTCTGCAAAGTTCTGAAATAACCTCTTCTCTGACGGTAGACCAATGTCGTACATACCCTTAGGACCTGCAAAACCCAGTCATGTACCTTGACCCCACTCAATTCCAGGGCACAAACTTGTAGGTCTAGATTCACCCAATGCTGCTTGTCTTGGGTCAAGCATTGCTCTAATAGACCATAGTTACTAAGAGGCAAATCGTCTTTGTATCAGCAAGTTTCACTTGTGTTGAAGCCTTGAAAAAGGTTTGCAGGAACTCTAGATCAAGCAAGAGCTTCAAGCTACAACCATTTCAATACAGCCTTTATGAAGGTTTGTAACTTTCTTAAAAAATACCCATTTCAAGCAATTATTACTCGTATAAATCTTAAAAATAAACCAAAACATGCGTACCAAAAAGTGCTCAGCAAGTTCATTACGACCGTCGTTCCTACTTTCTAATACTCGGTCATTAACTTCACTACCTCTTTCAATAATCGCTCTTATACTTGAATTTACATGGTACAGGTTTACGCAAGACTTGAGGCTTTCGCGTCGATCACATCCTGGCAAATGTTTAAAAAACATGGCAGTTGTGTCGAAAAGCTGGTATGGAACGGTGAATGAACTCTTGGCTCGCTACCAGCGCGATACAATGCAACTAACCTTCAAATATGGCTCCAAAACAGAAATTTTAGCTATCCGACGAGAAATTCAACTTCGTGGACGAGCTGTGCGAGATCTTTGCATCCGAATGGGACATTCGGATGGCACACGGTTCATCACGAAAGTTTGGTGGTGGATGGAGGAACGCGAGATTCCTTGGGATGTCATGTTCTCACAACTTCCAGGGATTAAACGACTGGACTTGAGGTTGTTGCCTTTTGAGAGTCGTCACCTGCCACTTCTCCTGGAAATGGCAGCAAAATTTTGTCTTCCGTTGGAAATCTTGATACTTCCGAGAAAACAGAACAAGATGACAATAGGTGATTGTAATACCGTTGAACGCGTTATGAAGGCTACAAGAGGCGCAATGCAAAGGCTTTATATGAAAGGAACATGCGGGGGCTTGAAGCAGTTAACAGTGCCAACGATGAACGAGCAGCACCGGTTTCGTTCTAGCACAAAGTTTATCGAAGACGTCATTGCATTCTGTCCAAATGTGGAGTATTTGGATGGATATAATCATGCTATTGATGAGATGAATGGCGTAACATGTGGAGAGAAATGGATAATCTCGCTCGACACGTGGGAGAGATTTAACAAAACGTGCACAAACCTGCACAGTTTTGATTGGGCGGTTGTACCTTTTGCAGACCCATTTTTTAGAGTTTTTGGAGAGCATGTAAAGCCAAGATTAAAAAAGTTGACGTTGACGTTAAATTTGTCGTGGGATTGGAATGACTACTTTAATACGGATCAAATATCCGATATTCCCTTTGAAAAATCTGGTTATGGTTTACTTGCAAAAGACGTGGCTTTATTACTAAAGGGTTGTCCAGCTTTGATCGAGCTAGATGTTATTATTGACCAAGATCAAAATGGCGAAGCGGTTGGAACACTGTTGGACGTAGATCTGTTTGGCGATCAGTTTTGGATGGTAGTAGTTGATCGTTGTCCTCTACTACAATCGCTGAATCTTTCTGATCGTTCTGCATACGGAGGAAGCCGTGTCATCAGATTGACCAACAAATTTACAGACCGTGGACTACTTGCGCTAGCAAATCACACACGCCTGACCTCGATCAAGTTGCCTGCAGTTTGTTGTTCTGGAAATAGTGTGTTTGAGTACATAAAGCACGTTTTCAGAAAGAAACCTTTTGCGGGAGGAAAGTTTAGTCTTGGCTTGAGCTTAGCAGGCCCAAACGATCATGCAGTATCACACCCATTCTACGTAGAGCTTGTAAAATTACTGGAGCGCCTTGCCGTGGAAAGCGAGAAAGAGATAGGCGTTGCGTCGTGCAGCCACAAGGCGTCGATCAATGTGTCTAACCCGCACAGTGCTTCGGTCGATAAAGATTGGAGCATATTATATCTGCGTGATGAGCTTAAACCTATAATGGAAAAGGTAGCAAACGCGCATCCAACCCTGGATATGCATGTTGTCCTATGCAGAAATACTCCAGATAGTTTTTGCCGAATCGACAACATGGAGCTAAACTGGTGTCCAGGGTCACAGCAAGGGAGCATGTTCATTGACAATGCGTTTGTTGGTGATACGGATAGCAATGACCGTGAAAGCAACGAAGAAAATGAAGCATTTTATGACGAAGAAGATGAAGCGTTCTATAACGTTGAAGATGATCTTGATCCTCATGAGATTTATTCAAGACGTCATGCCATGTTATTGGACCATGAGAATGGAATTGGTTTAGTGAATGAAATTGGTGTAGCGAATGTAGATGGCGAACTGTGAACTGTGAGCAAAGGTGAGCATTTGGCCTCATGGCCGGACATCTTACCGGATCCTTAAAGCATTTTGCCTTTAATCAGATCCATTAAAGAGTAACAAAGATGCATTAACACACCACGGCTCAGCTTCATTTCTCACAGCTGTTAACTGCAGCTGAAAATGTGCGAGCTGGAAGCTATCGTATGTTACCCTGGCAGTAGCTGCTGGCTTTTAGTAGGCGGTTGGCTTTATGGTTTTGCGTTGATACATTTTCATAGCGACCACGAAAATTTTTGTTTTCGAAAATTTGCATGAGTAAGCTCGAGATTGTCAGTATACTGTGAACAATGTCATTTTTACAAGGACTGTGCACCGAATGACATGCCTCCTCCATGGGACAAATGAATACACGTTATCCAAATGACAGCGTTAGCGCTGTAAATTAATGCGTTAGTTCAGGACGTATACGACTTTGCAAGCAAGCCGATACCTCGTCACCGAGCATGCGTTCCAAAATACAAGCCGATGCAACCCAGGGAGCAGACTACCACGTGTCGATGTCTGCCTACAAACTAACCGTAATCTGTCGTGCATGCCAGCAAACATCTTCCTGCTAGTGTAATTCCCACTTCAAGTAATCGTCCAGTGAACTGACTCCTCACTGTTTCTAAAGAAAGAATAGCTTGTGTTCAAGACAAGAAATTGGACGTCACTATTCACGTCCATAAACCAATTGACTAAATCCAATAAATTTACAATATTTGCATCATGATGAACAGTTGATAGTGCTGGTGTTTGAAAAGGTGAGCTTGGAGGCATGTTGCTTGAAGGTTGCGTAGCAAGTAGCGATCGTCCCACTTGCACACTTTTTGGTGCTTATTCGACGCCCATCTGGCTTTGTCAGGATAATTACGTAAAGTAACTACCGTCGCGCCAGTTTGTTTTCAGCTTAATGTTTATTCGCTAAGACGACTATGTCGCCTGTAAAAGATGTTGGACCGTTTATGCAAAACACTAGAGAGCATTTAGCAGGTTAGGGAAAAAGCAGTAGTAACGTTGGTTGGTACAACGACAACCTCTCCCAATCTGTCCTGCTGCCCTGTCTAGAACTCTTGACGTCTTTTTGCAAACTGTACGTGTTTTTCAATTATATTGTTTTCTACGTTTTGAATTAGCATATGAAACAACCGACAGAATGTAATATATAAGTTTAATAATATACTGATTTTGTCAGGATATTAAATTATAGCCTTGAATGAGCTCGATCGTCAGCGGCACGCAATTTTGTGCGTGTAGGAGGTAACAAGAGTGTAAAATGTTTTATTTATCTTGATTTCAATATGTACAAGAATAAACGTCTTGTTTCTACCCTATTTCAGTAAACCTACCGAACTTCAGTCTTTCTCTCTCTACCTTTAGAGCTCACACAAGGCATAAACGACATCAAGTATCACTATTTGTTTCTGTGCGTACACACATTTCACTAAGAAGAATCGAGTCAGCTCAACAACAAGAATTGACCAGTCAGTAGTAGATCGTTACAATGAATAGGCGACTTTTAGCGCTGCTTGGCGTGGTAGCTTTAACACATAGGACGTTGGCTGCTACCACGTGCCCTGTGTTGGTGCAATCAAAGACCACGTCAACGCTTAAAGACCCTATTGTGAAGGTGATAACCCTTATACCTAACGGTAGCACTAGTAGTACTAGTAGTATTTCTAGTGGTAGTAGTAACCATGACTTGACGTCGTCTTACACTGGTTCCGGTTCAGACTCGGACTTGCTAAACGTTGATGGTAATAAAACTGATCAGAATGTTGACGTGGATAGCAGTTCATCCGGTACCCCAACGTCTGTGACTGTCGGCGATATCTCCACGGATACGACGCTCACAGGTAGTGACAATTCAGCTGTTGACTCTTTGCCAACGACGACAACTACCGACACTACTCCGTCGTCCGCGTCCAACACTGCGGCGACGACTGAAGCGACGGCGAAAGCAACCAGTGAAGCAACTACTGAAGAGACGAATAAAGCAACAACTGAAGCAACGACTAAAGCGACGCTGCCCGTTGTGACAACGCCTACTGCCAGTACTGAAAGTGCGTCCGACACAACGACGATAAAAGCGGATTCATCACCTTCTGCTACTGCAACTACAGCGGCGATCTCGGCATCGTCGGGATCTTCGAACACTGCAGCGGACACCACTGCCTCCCTATCAGTTGGTGCCCGTAAATTGCAGGTTAGAAGTACAACCCCAACTACAGCTATTGACCCGGCTACAAAAACGACCGCTACAGCAGAAACAGCGGGAACAATTGCAACGACCGGAACGAATACCACGACCGGAACGAATTCCACGACGAGTATGACGACGGAATCGACTTTGCCGTCTCCAACGACAGAATCGTCTCTGATGTCTCCAACGACGGCAGGTTCTAGTTCGGGAACTGATGTGGTTGGCTCTACTACGTCAAGCTCAGACAGTCTATCTTGTGACAGTTCATTTTACTCGAAATGGGACACTCTGGGTCTACAGTGCGGTGGCTTAGGTATTAATGTGGCTTTGGCCGTGTCGGCTTCGAGCTGCGTGATCTACAGCGGCAATGCGGGTGGTGTCTCTGGCTCGACATGCGTTTCAATCTGCTCATTTCCTGCATGTACGGACAACGCATGGGTTTATGGTGCCGAAAACGGCATTTCGTCGTCGGTGTACAATGGTTTGAGCGTTGAAGCGTTCCTCCCGAGTGATGTGATTGCGGCCATGGAGGAGCGCTCGTCGACGGTGTCGACGTTCTTGTCGAATTCGACAATGTCTGATTCAGAGCAATGTGCGTATTCGTCAGAGAACTCTTTTTCGTCGTGCTCATGCTCAGCTTTGCTTGTGGATATTTCGAGCTCCGGAAGTCTTGCTGACGCAGCAAAGAAGGAGCTGCGTCAGAACAATGAGGCTGTTGGTGTCATAACAAAGGATGACACGACCAGCGCTGGAACGGTGGTGGCGGCTACGTCTAAGAGTGTTGCTGGCGTGACTGTTGCAGTCACTAGCATCGCTGCAATTGCCAGTGCGGCTGTAGGCGGAGTCAGCTCCGCGGGTGCTTCACTCGCTGCCGCCGGCTCTACGATGGCCATCACAACTGTAGAGATTTGCCAGTTTGGTGTTCTTATTAACCAGCTCCAGCTTGACGGCAAGTCGTCGGCTTTGGCCCAGTTTGGTAAGGCGATGGCCCCTGCAACGTTCACGTTCTTGCCGTTCGGTAAACTTGACAAAGCTGAATTGGATAGCATCAGCTTGGGTAGTGACAGCTCGACTGAAGACACAGCTGGTCGTCGGCTGTCTAGCTCCAGCGGTAGCAAGAGCTCCACTAGCACGAGTCAGCTTACTGGTATCGAAAAATACTCTCGCCAGCTGAACATCCAGGAAGACATGCTATTTATCGTGACGTTGGCTGGTGTTTTCTGCGTGATGGCCTGCGTTGTAGGCCTATTTGGCATTGGATATCTGCTTGCTGGCCTACTGATGCCCCGTGAAGAGTATTTAACCAAATTTTTTGACAAAATGATCGGTCTGGAGGTACTCGTGGCTATTTTATCTCAGTACACTGTTGGTGTGACGGCTACTTTCCAGATCTACTACTCGACGAAATACGAGAGTATAACGGACCCAAAGTGTTTACTGGCTATTGCTGCAATTGTTTTTCTCGCTGCTGGAATTCTCGTGTACGGGTACGTTGTCGTTAAGAAACACGAGGCTGACATTGCGGACGTCGGTACAGTGCAGCACATGAAAAAGACTGTAAACATGCGTTACGGTCCTCTGTACGAGGAGTACAAATTCAAGAACCGCTATTTCTTTGCTGCTAAGATGATGCTTGCACTGGCAACTGGTGTGATTACTGGCTGTGCAAGCATGTCGGGCAAGGCACAGATTGGTATCATTTTGGCGTTGAACGTGGTGTTTTTTTTCTATTTGGAAATCCAGTCGCCACACCACTCGAAGTTCGTTCAGACCACCACGAGTTTTGTGTCTATCATGAAAATTGCCGTGCTCGTGCTGACGTTTTTTCTGGTCACTGCTGCAACTAGCGATGGCTTTCCAACCAGTCTGCAAAACGGCATTTCTGTGGCCATTGTAGGTCTCAATCTGTTCGTATTGGCTTTGCTTATGATCAGGTCGCTGTACACGTTCTGGCAAAAGCTAAAGCTGCAGCGTAACGCTGCGTATGACCAAGAAGAGCCGACCGCGCAGGACTACTTTAAAGACGAAACGCCCGCTGGACAGAAGGATCGTACTATTAGTAACGCACAGCACCCTTCTGGTCTACCAGTTTTCCAGTCCCAGTACCCGAACGTGAACAATGATAACAACAACCCGTACGTCCAGGGTAATGCCGTGGATTACAATACTGCCGACGAGATCCGTCTACGATCAGCCACTCACGAGAATAACGCCCGGCAGCAGACATACGACGCAAGTGGACCATGCGGCTGCCAATCACTACATTACGGAAGATCGAAACATGTACGGCCAGCGTCGTAACGATGTTGTGGAGCTGTAGACACACAAATTTGTACGTGTTAGCATTGGAGTTGTAAAAGAAAAGTTCAAGTACGATCGTGTTTTTTTAGTAGCAACGTGATTAGACTGAGGTTGTAAATGAAGACGGAGAAAGATAAAAGCTTCTTGTTACGACAATTACTGTTCCATCACGTTGGACAATTAAAGAAGTGTCAGTTAGTTGATCATTATCATAGGTCGTGTTTGATATATAGAATCCTTTTTCGTATCACATCAAGTCAAAACCACTTAAGAACATGCCAGAACAATCGTTATTAACACAGGGACTTGAATCATTAAGCAGCACCAAGTCCAAAGCGATCCACAGCAATATTAATGAGCTATATGCTCTTGATATTGCACTACAAAAAGCGCATGATGAGGCAAAATACAACGACGAACTTGGTGAAAAAGTCGTGAGCAAGTATAAAGCCTTTTTATCTTGTCGCCAACAACTAATTGCTGAGCTAGAGAAAAAAAACATTCAAGTACCTTGGCAGCTACGAATGACAATTGATGATCTCGAGCTAACGGTGAGAAAGTATCACTGAAACAATGGTTTTTCGTTGTAGAGGAGCAGTAGTTTGATAACGTATTCATTTGTACATTTGGACAACATGCAGCTAACACAGCGTGAAGAGCAGAAGAAGGACAATCTGTCAAAGACCAACACTTCACGTATCAAGAAGATTGAAGAACCAGTTCAAATGGTACAGCCAGGGCGAGTGACGGTGGCGTTTATCGGACCAACACTTGTCGCTTTATTCATTGCTATGCTGTGGTACCATTATAACAACTAAGAGGTGAATTACTTGACTTTTCGAGTTGATCTATCTACTATTGCTATTGTATCTGTTAACTGTTACAAAAGACCCTCCTCCGCTCATCGCTCGCTGGATACTCCTCCTGCTCATTGTCGCTTACCGTGCTATCATCATCTTGTTGCGTAGAAGAGGCATTGGCTGATACGAACAGGCTATTTGTTCTCAAATGTCGGCATCCTCATCAGCTCATTTCTCGCTAGATCGTAGTGCACTTATTGGTGATTTAATCTCGTTAGGACCACTTCAACCTGGCGCTCAAGTGCTGGTGGTTGAGGATGAGAACTTCTGCATTCCTGCGCGCCAATGGCACTTGTATTAATACTTTAAGAATAAAGATGACAGTCACGTCACTAGACAGTGAGAGCCAATTACGAGAGATGTATCCGACGTCACGTGACATTCTAAATGAATTGCACAGTGAAGGAGCTCACGTTCGACACGAAGTGAACGCGACAAAGCTTGAGAGATACTTGTTCCACAACGATGGCAATGATCCAGTCAAGTTCAATCGAGTTGTGTTCAATTTTCCACATTACGTAGCAGGTGGAGGTGTGGGCAACAAGGACAAATGTAACAAAATTCATCGTCATCGGCAGCTGCTGCTCAATTTCTTCACTAGTGCAAGTCAAGTGCTAGCACATGACGGACAAATTTGGGTCACGCTTTGTGCTGGACAAGAAGAAACAAGTCTAGAGACGAAGACACGATCAGCGGGAGATACATGGCAGATTGTTCACTGCGCTGCAGCAGCAAAGTTGTTGCTGCAGGACGCCCACGACTGCCCAGTTGACGCATTGGCTGACTTGGGGTACTACAGCGTCGGGTATCAATCGCGAGACAAGGCTTTCTGGATAGGAAACGGCATCACGAACGTGTTTTGCCATGAAGCTACAGACCACAAGCCTTGTTTTTCTATTCAGTGGACACGCGGCATCAGCTTTTGGGTCACTGACGAGCAATTGTTCACAGAGGATCTCTTACTTGACATTATAAGGAAACACTTTTTGATCAAGACGATGACTGTTTCGATCTCATTGCTCGACGAGTATCGCTGCGTAAAGAGCGGCAGGAAGTCGGTCACTTACCGATTTAACATTTTGTCTTTTTCCCTAGCACTCTTTCGTGACCGTGTGAACACATTAGTAGAGACACACTTAGACCATTGAGAACCAAGTTCGGCGCTTCCGCGCATCATAATGAAATATATCCAAAATAGTATATTGACAGCATTTACTTCTGATGTAATGGTTAATGCTTTTGTCTTCCAAACCTCCGATTTCATTTCATAATTACATAGAAATACTGAGGTACAACAGCAGTTGGCTGCGTTCCCCAGCAAGTGCAGACACAGTGCCATGCTACAATATGTCCTGATTCGATGCTTTACGAGCCTGCATGTAACAAAACCGAGTTGGCCATTACAAGCACATAGAGACCCTGTACAATCGGATCTTGACACACTACCAGGCAGCAATAGATGTGGTAGACAGCATCCAAAGACCGCGGCATGTCGACAACGGGCCAACCATTCACGGGATTACGCCAGTAGTGGAGTGATGTGAGTAGAACCACGAGCGCCATGAATGCACATCCCCAAACTTACTATGAACGCCTCGATGACTGAGAAGCACGTTGCAAACGAAGATCGGAAAAGACGCGATGAATAACGTTGTGGCAGGCAGCACAGGCATAGACGATGAAATGACTTTGCTGGTTATCATTGACTTAATTGAGCTATCTGAACAAATGAGGTTATTTAGGCAGCTATATACAGATGGATAATATTCAATCAATATTTTCTATCTGTTAACTTGATGAACTTCATCAAAGCAAATCTCTCGAAAATTATCGAAATTTCGATTGTATTCATGAAAATTTGACGCTACAAGACACATTCACACTAAAACATACACGATATATATATTTATGTAACTTTATATGGGACTTGTTGAAGCGTCCTATCCGATCGCACTTCAACATGATGTCTGTCGATTATATGTATGGTAAACTCTTTTGTCAACTTAAACAAACACCATTGATTAACATCTCAACCAAATAACTCAACCAAATAACTCATATTTAGCTCCTGGTATCGCTTACGACCGCGCCTCTGGTACTCCATGTCATCTTTGAAACAGTCATGACGGAGCTCGAGCAGATGCAAGATATTATGATGCGACCACGTTCCTTGCTCAACATGCCTCGCGACGTCTTTGCCGCGCCAAAGTCGCTGAAGAAGATGAAAAACGGGTTGATGACGATATTTTTGTTGACCTACCAGTAGTGTCGCACATGTACAAGCGGATACCGTTTGCCATGGCTCTCAAACAGGATGAAAGGTCATAAAGAACAAAGAGTTTACAGATAACGTTAGCCCGGACACCTACACAAGCACCGACATGGAAGTTGATAATGAAGGCAGTAAAAGGGTCGACTCAGCGGAAGGCCCAGCAACCAAGTCAGTACGCAAGTCCGTGGAGCCATCAATAAAGTTCAAAGGCAATGATGACAAGACTAATGACAAGAAGAGCAAGCAGCTTTGTCGTGAGTCATACGATATCACCCGTACTACTGATCATAAGGTTGTTACTAAGTGGGACGACGAGTATCGCAACTTCTCGCCTTATTCGTTCAGTAGTCCGTTGCACGAGCACACGACGCCGCTACGAAAACGCAGCTGGTCGACTGAAAGGTGATATCTCATAGTTCATCATTCAAGAATCGTAAGGCCAAAATCCGCTTGCGATGTACAGCCCGCAGAAAACACCGCAAGGCGAAATTCCTGCCACCAATCCCCTCCAATTGGTGCGTTCTCGCTTTCGTTGAGGGACATATCGCACAAACTGAAGTTCTTTTACCATTGCAGCTTTCAACGGTCGATAAACATTGCTGCAGTTAGCACGAATTCGTTAGATCGGTTTATCGCGCCATTTTCTATGACGCGGAATTTCATACTGGAGACATGTTAGCTTATCACAATACAAACATGTCAGGCCCTCGATGCCGTCTCAGTGGTCGTGCATGAAATCTGTCGGGTTGTACGCGTATCTTGTAGTATACTTGTGGACAAAGCGGTCGCCAGCTCTTGTACATACGCGGTTCATCGCTTTCTTGACAGCTGCGTCGTTGCAAAGCCTGTTGCCATCGGTTGGTAGCAAACACAAAATGGGAACAAACATCTCTGTGCCGTGCGAGTTATTTGCACAATAGGGTAGTAAAACCCTCTGTGCCAGTGCTACTACACTCAACAACACGGAGGCACCATTTGGGACTTGAAGACTTGGCATAGCCCTGTCCACCGTAAAAGGTGTGGCGTCAAAACATCTTTCCCAATACCTTTGAAAATCAATGCTTCGCATCCAGTCACAGTAGCATTGACGTCCCAGGTGGGTCTTCTGTTCGT